CCTGGGCAGGGGTGGAAGCCTGCGATCGAGCAGGCTGGGGGTCCCCTGTCCAGGCCTAATGCCCGGCCAGAGGCCTGAGGCCTGGGCAGGGGCGGAGCCGGTGATGGCACGGGGCTGGGGGGGTCCCCTGTCCAGACCTAACGCCCTGGCCAGAGGCCTTAGGCCTGGGCAGGCGATCGGAACAGGCTGGAGGTCCCCTACCCAGGCGTAACACCCCTCTGTCCTGGGCATGGGTGGAGCCTGCGATCGGAGCGGGCTGGGGGTCCCCTGTCTAGGCCTAATGCCCGGCCAGAGGCCTGAGGCCTGGGCAGGGGCAGAGCCTGGGATGGCACGGGGCTGGGAGTCCCCTGCCCAGGCCTAATGCCCTGGCCAGAGGCCTGGGCATGGGCGGAGCCTGCAATCGGAGCAGGCCGGGAGTCCCCTGCCCAGGCCTAACGACCAGCCAGAGGCCTGAGGCCTGGGAAGGGGCGGAGCCGGTGATCGGAGCGGGCTGGGGTCCCCTGCCCAGGCCTAACGCCCCTCTGGCCTGGGCAGGGGCAGAGCAGGTGATCACACGGGGCTGGGGGGTCCCCTGCCCAGGCCTAACGCCCGGTCAGAGGCCTGAGGCCTGGGCAGGGGCAGAGCCAGCGATGGCACGGGGCTGGGGGTCCCCTTCCCAGGTCTAAAGCTCCAGTCAGAGGTTTTAGGCCTGGGCAGGGGCCGAGCTGGGGATCTGTGTGAACTACAGAGGAAACACCTTTTCTGACTGCTCATTGGCTAAGCTCCCTGTATGCCACTGGTAATATTCTTAGTAATTTGGGTAATAAGAATCCAAGAAGGTGATCTAGGGTTTTTCCACCTCACTCCTGGAGGAAAAAACAAAGGTCTGCTGCTGGAGGGCTAAGAAATGTCATATCCTGCCCTAGCCGGTTTGGCTCAGTGGATAATGCCTCGGCCTGCCCACTGCAGGGTCTGGGTTCAATTTTGACCAAGGGCATGTACCTAGGTTGCAGGCTCCTCCCTGGCTGGGGCCCAGGTCAGGGCTCATGCAGGAGGCAACCAATCAAAGTGTTCCTCTCACTTTGATGTTTCTCTCTTTCCTTTTCTCTTCCACATTCTCTAAAAATCAATGGAAACATATCCTCAGGTGAGGATAAAAAAAATAATAATAAAGAAATGTCATATCCTATGAAAGACACATCTTGAAAATGCCTAAAGAAAGATGTCATTTTTTCATGGTGAAGGGACTAGAGTCCATGTTGATGAAAACACCTTGGTGGCTATGGTGACTGGCAGTGGCTGCAGCAGAGGGGTGATGGGGCTGGCGCCTTCCCCTGATCAGCCCGGTCGCCTCCCACAAAGGGAGGCCAGATGGTGGCTTAGGCCCGCTCCCCAGGGCGAGCAGGGAGCGGGTCTAAGCCGTCAGTAGGACATCCCCTGAGGGCTCCCAGTATGTGAGAGGGGGCAGGCTGGGTTGAGGGACCACCACCCTCTCCCCCACCCAGTGCACGAATTTCATGCACCGGGCCCCTAGTAGATAGATACAGATATACAGTGGGGCCTTGACTTACAAGTTTAATTCGTTCCGTGACGAAGCTCGTAACTCAAATTACTTGTATGTCAAATCAAAAAGTGAACGAGTGAGACGCGTGATGCTGGGCTGATGTTGTGGTGTTCACTGTGACATTCGCTGCGCCAACTAGCAGTGGGGTATCTGAAGCTGGCTCGTAACCCGAATTTTACCTCGCAACTCAAAGCAAAAAATCGGCCGAGAGACGGCTCGTATCTCGAAAAACTCGTTAGTCGGGACACTCGTAAGTCAAGGCCCCACTGTAGAATAAAACACTCAGGATAATCCCCAGCACATAAATCTTTTAACATGGGGACAGATATTACCATCAACTTCATCATTATAACACTGTGAGGGGAGATACAAAGTGGTGCTTAAGAGAATGGAGAGTGGACACAGAGGCCTGGAACTTCCATCCTGTCTACGCCCTGAAGTTTCTTATCTTCTCTATCTGCAGCTTGCTCCTGTGTAAAAGCAGAAAAACCACATCTCTCTCATAGCATTATTAAGGATAAATTAAATTTTGCAGTTTTCTCAAACTTCTCTGATCTTAAGAATCAGTTGAAAAACTTACTAAAATTACAGATTTACGGATACTATCTCAGACCCATTGAATCAGAGTCTCTCTAGTGGACACACTGAGGAAACAGTGTTTTTATGAAGTCCCCCAGATGATTCTTAGGACCACACATGTATGGAGAACATTGAGATAATTGTGTTTCCCCAAAATTCATATGTTGAGACCCTAACACTCCATGTGATGGTATGTGGAGACGAAGCCTTTGGGAGATAATCAGGTTTAGATGGGGTCATGAGGATAGAACCTTCATGATAAGATGGGTGTCCTTATTAGAAGAGGAAGAGACACTAGGGTGCATTCTCATTCTCTCTGCTCCTCGTCCTCCTCCTCCTCACAAGTAAAGACACAGCAAGAAGGGGGAAGGTGGAAGGGGGCCGGCTGCAAACCAGAAAGAGAGCCCTCACCAGTATCCAACCATGCCAGCATTTGTCTCCAAAAACTCTAAGAAATAATTTCCTATTGTTTAAGTTACCAGCTTACAATTTTTTTTAATAGCAGCCCCAGCTGACTAAGATACAATATATATAAGGATTAATCAATTCAGGATAAATGGAAAAGTGTCTACCACATAGTAACTATTCTTTTATGTGAAGGCAAAATCCACATTACTCCAATAAAACTTCACACTTGCAGAGAGCTGGGGAAAACTTTCTCCTGTGATTCTGGAATATTTCAAAGGAAAAGATTCAGATTGGGAAGCACAGAGAGTGGATGGAGATACACTTTTCCATTCTTCCCATGAAGTACAGCTAAGTATATGTCACAACACAGCCCCCCAAAGAAAGGATTATCTGGCCCCGGTGTCAGCAGTGCACTGGCTGAGAAACCCTGGTTTAAATCGACCTCCTCTTGGAGCCTTCCCCGGTAACAGCAATCCTTTTGGTCCCTGTACCTATGGTCCCCAGGAAAGTTTAAATAAGGTTACACATTTCCTTAGCGTGTTATTTTGCCTCCCCTAACAGGCCTTGTCTTACTTAGGCTATTCCAGCTGCTATAACAAAATACCAGACTGGGTAGCTTACAAACAGAAATTCATTTCTCAGTTCTGGAGACTGGAAAGTCCAAGATCAAGGTACAGCAAGTTCTGGTGACAGCCCTCTCCCGGGTTCAGAGCCCATGCCTTCTACCTCTTGTCACCACAGAAGGGACAAGGGACCTCTCCAGGGCCTCTTTTATAAAGTCCTTAAGCCACCCATGAGCTCCGCCCTCTAGTCCTAAGCACCCCCAAAGGCCCCGTCTAATAAAATAACACTGGCATTAGGATTTCAACACATGAATGGGGGAGGGGACACAGACATTCCGACCCTAGCAGGTCCATAAGACTCTCTGCAGGCAGGACCAATGGTTTGCTAATGCGAAAGCACTACTCGCCCTGGCCGGGTGGCCCAGCTGCTTGGAGCGGAGTCCCCAAAAGGTTGTGGTTCAATTCCTGTTCAGGGCACATACCTAGGTTTGGGGCTCAATCCCATCCGGGTGTGTAGGGGAGGCAACCGATCAATGTTTCTCTCTCTCTCTCTCCCCCTGCCTGCCTCCCTCCCTCCCTCCTCTTAAAAAACATACAAATATAAATAAATAAAAACACATCCTCCGGTGAGGATTAAAAAACACACACAAAAACGTCCTACTGTTCCCTCCTGTACAGCTCAGTGGTAGGCACAGAAGAACAACTTAAAGCGATGTGCTGGCCTCCTTTAAACCCACGGCCTGCGCAGGTTGAAGCAGAGCTCTATGTCAGGATGCAAGGGTACGCTTTCTGTTTAAAGCCATCCCTTTTCCATGCAAGCCTGTTCCCTCTATCATGTTCGTTCGTTCTCTCTCTCTCTCTCTCACTCTCTCTCTCTCAATAAAACTCATCACAGCTACCTGCTCCCACGCCCGCCACTCCTCCCCCGGGAGCAGCTTGCACCAGCGCTCAGACCCAGGACCCGTCCCCGGCGAGGACTCGGCTTCCCCAGGCAGGCGGCGGGGGAGCCTCGGGGAAGTCACAGCAGCAGTCACAGCAGCAGCCACCCCGCCCCTCCGCCCCCCCGGTCCCCGCAGCGGACGCCCCCGGGGCCCGGGCTTCATCCCCGTCGTCTCTGGTCCCCGCAAACCCTGACGGGTCCGAAAGGGAACCTGCAGCGCCGAGCGTGTGTCTGGACGACCTGCTCACCGCCCTGGTGTAGAGACCGTTCGGACCAGATCTCCTGGGGTCCGGAACGCGTGACCCGTCCCCAACGCCGCGGCTGCAGGGCGGAGGGGGGGGTCTCGGAGGACCAGGTCAGCGGCCGCAGCCTCGACGCCGACCGTGACGCGGGGGGACCTCAGCCCCAGGAGGCCGGCGGAGGCCCCGGGAGGGAAGGCGACACCTCCCCGGCTCCCCATCGCCACCCCGCGCGTCTGCCTTACCTGCCGTCCCTCCCAGTTCCGTCCGGCTGCACCCCGACTTCCCACAACAGGACCCCAAATCCTCCCTTAACCGAGCGCGGGCTCCAACGTCATCAGCCGTTGCCCGCCTGCGGTCACGTGACGCCCCGCCCCTCGGGTCACGTGACGGCCAGGGGAGCCAGGGGCGGAAGCCGGGGTCCCGCGGGCTCCTGGTCCGGGGCTGAGGGTAGGAAGCTCCCCAGCGGAGAGGCGGGGTGAGGACCCCCCGGTGCCGAACCCGCGCGCGATCGGCGGCCCGGCTCTGCCCCTCGCGGCCCGGACGGCAGGTGAGTGAGTGGCGGGGTGCACGCGCCCCTCCTTTGCGCCCCCCTTCCCCTCCTGGGCCGCGCTGGCCGAGGGGACTTGGGGTGGGGTCTGGGTGGGGTGCCTGGCGTGGAGGGCTGTGGGGCTCCGGGCGGGGCTGCCGCAGCCCGGGCTCCTCTTCTCCACTGGATGGAAATTGCTTCCCTGCTCCGCCCGCGTCCGAACCTTCCGAGTTCCCGGGAGCAAGGCCGGTGCACGTCGCTCTTCTCCACGGACTCTGGAGAGAGCTGAGGCTCAGTGAGCGATTTGCCGCCCGACGGCCCCGGAGCGCATCCTGGGTCTGCATGGCCCTGAGTCCCGGCAAGTCATTGTGCCTCTGCACCTGAGTTCCCTCGCCTGTGACATGCGGTGCCAAGGCCCTTTGCATTTCGGAAAAGTGTTCAGAGGATCCCCAAAACCAAACAAACCAAAAACGTACAGAGCCCATAGGAGGCGCGGGGCGCCTGGCTGCGAGTGCACGGAGCTCCCTCCCTGATGAGAGATGGGTGAGGGTGGTGGGCGGGGGGCGGAGGTCTTCCTGCCTGGACCCACCGTGAGGAACACCTTCCCGTTTTCCTTCTGCTGTCTTTTCCGGGACTCATGAATCAGACTAGAGCGATCAGACTCATTTCAGAGTTTTTCTGGAGATTCCCATCACTTTTATCTTGATCCACAACCATCATATTTTGTCCTGATAATGGGTTGGTACTGAAGTGTGTGGTAGGATAAAAATAGACCTGTCTTTTCTTGTCCTCAACAGCGGCTTGTCCCAAGACAATTTAATGTCCTTCAGAGTTCAGTTCTGTACTCATTGGCTAACTGGTAGGATGGTGTCATGCTTCATTCTTGAAAGCAGGATGTCTTTTTGCCTAGGATCACTTTCCAAACTAAAAAACAGTTTCATACCAAATTCTTAAAGATAAAATAACTACCACTTTTCTGGGTGCTTTGTAAAGACAATTAGAAAATTGGGTGGGATCTCTAGTTCAATTCCATGCCAAATGGCAGTGCAATCTGCATTGGGATCTTCTTCATCCCTAGCACCAATAGAACCAAATGGAAGATTTAATATAGCTTCTGCTACAATGTTTATTTACATGTCATTCTAGAGTGATTTTTTTTAAGCTCAGCTAAGTCTTAACACCTATGAAGCTACCTGTCTGAGATTGCTGCAGCATTGGTACCATCTTTAATGATGCTCTTCAATTCTGTTCTGTAGGGCCAGTTTTTCAGCCAACAGTGGGGTATTTGCCAAACACTCTAGCAGCGGCCTTACCACAATCTGCAGGTGGCTTTTCTCTGAGACTTGTCACCTCATGGTCTCTAGGTGGCTGCTGTGGCTTCAGGCATGGAATGTTCATTGAGCCATATTTAAAGGCAGGAAGGAAGGGGATAGAGAGGGAAATTTCTCTCCACATGCCTCTCTCCTTGTAACAGGAGGAATAAATATTTCCCAGAAGTCCCACCATAGACTTCCTCTTATACCTCATTGGTCAAAACTGAGTGATGTGTCTAAGCCTAGCTTCAGGGAGGTGGAAAGTAGTGCAAATGTTGAGAAAGACCTGGGCTTTCACGATTTTGAAAAGTAAATCAGGCTTCCATGAAGTTGACAAATGATGACCTAGATTCCTAGCCAATCGATACAGAGAGGAGAGGAATGTAACAAAGATGACACAAATTAGCACTTGAAAAGAGTGATTTGAGAAGGAATTGGGAGAGAGTTTGGGAAAATTAATGATGCCTTGAAACTGTTTTTGCAAAGATTACCTCCTTAAAGATCATGATATGAAAGTCAACTATGAAGTATAAGATGCTGTGTTATCAAAATCAGAGTTTGGTAAAATAAACTTTTGACTCCGCTGTTTGTCCATTGAATTAGTACATCGTTGTTGCAATTTTATCCTAAATTTTGTTAAGCAGAAACTTATTTTCATCGGGTTACAATGTTTTAAGATATAACTAATGAGACTTTCCTACTGCTTGGTATGAAATGCTTATCTTTACAGTCACTGCGCAGCCTTTCTCCGGCATGTATTGTCCTCGATAACAAGGACTTCCTGCACATAACATATGAGAAAAGCATCTCTAAAGGTGTTCCTTCAACTCATTCTAGTGGATTTTAGGACATACCTTTTCCCGAAGGTGAAACAAGTGACAGTTCCTGGAAGGAAGATATAATAATTGGTGCCCAATTGAGGGCACACTGGAACCACTCATGCTCAGTGGTGCCTTCTCCCAAGCTCAGTGGTAGCCACACTGGGTCTTCCCTCAGGGGGAGAAGTGAATCAAGGGGTGAAAAAGAGGCCAAGAGTGTTCATTTATCAAAGCCCTTCCACATGGAAAACGTGAAGAAATGCCCTCCCCCGCCTCCCCATCAGAAATCATTTTTCTTGTTTGTTTTTTAGGGAGTTTGGGAGAAAAATAGTATCTATGTGTTTCACATGCTGCCTTTAAAAATGGAGATTTATTTTGTTTTTTGGATACAGTTTCTTAAATGGAGCAAACATCTGTCAGCAGACCCGGTTTCCACTAATGATTCGCAGACCCCAGCTCTGAAGCCGGCTGACGGTCCCCACCGGCCAGTGGGGACACGCACGGAGTAGCTGCCAGTCCTCAGGATGTTGGACTTCCTGGCTGAGAACAACCTCTGCGGCCAGGCCATCCTCAGGATCGTCTCCTGTGGCAATGCCATCATTGCTGAACTTCTGAGGCTCTCTGAGTTTATTCCTGCTGTGTTCAGGTTAAAAGACCGAGCTGATCAACAGAAATATGGAGATATCATATTTGATTTCAGCTACTTTAAGGTAATCTGCCCCTATAGCATTTTTACCATTGTCTTTTCTACGAAAGCATGCTTTCTGTGGGGACCATGAGATGCTGCGAAGTTAAGTCAATATGGAGAAAGAGTTAAATAGGAGAGATTTTTATTTTTATGTTTTTGTTAATCCTCACCCAAGGATATTTTTCCATTGGTTTTTAGAGAATTGAAAGGAGGGGGAGAGAAAGAGAAACATAGATGTGAGAGAGACACATTGATTGGTTGCCTCCCACACACACCCTGACCAGGGCTGGGGATTGAGCCAGCAACCAAGGTATATGCCCTTAACTGGAATCAAACCTGGGACCCTTCGGACCGCAGGCTGATGCTCTGCTACACTGAGCCAAACCGGCTAGGGCAAATAGGAGAGATTTTTAAACCAAATTTAATATCAGCCAACTAACTTGAAAATAATGTAAAGGTATTGTGTGCAGCCCTAATACAATAGAACCACATTTTATTAAGATAACTTTGATATAACATATTTCATATTTAAAGCATGCTAATTGTGGTTGTAATTCAAATTCGTTTCAAAGGGATTTTATATCTAGGCTTCTGTTATCTTTATTACTTTCTGTTGCTCTGCTTTCAACTTTTGACATCCCTTTAAGGCATATGAACACATTTTTAAGACTACTTAGAAATCGTTACCCACAAGTATGTTTTTATTGACATCTCCATAAATATGTTTTTCTTCTTAGGGTCCAGAATTATGGGAAAGCAAACTGGAAGCTAAGCCAGAGCTACAGGATTTAGATGAAGAATTTCGTGAAAACAACATAGAAATTGTGACCAGATTTTATTTAGCATTTCAAAGTGTGCATAAATATATTGTAGACTTAAACAGGTATTGATTAATTTAGTAATAGCTTATTCTGATAATAAGTCGTGGTGGGGGAAAGGGACATTCTAGAACATGTCAATCTTTCTGAGTTATTATTACACAGTGTACTAGATTATACCATGCACAGTTGTTTTGTCCTTCCTGTGGCACTAGTCATCTTAAGTATCTTAGAGTTTTATTATGATTTCCTGCTCTTGTAAAGTGTTACAATAATCTTGGTCTATACTAACTCATAATGTCTTTCAATCCTGTGGTTTATGATCATATTTTAGTATATTATATATGAGAAGTGGAAAAAAGGAACATATTTTCATAGCATTGGTAACCATACTTTCCTTCTTATCCCTAACCACACAATATTCTCTTCCTTCCAGCCCAGCGGTTCTCAACCTGTGGGTCGCGACCCCTTTGGGGGCCGAACGACCCTTTCACAGGGGTCGCCTAAGACCATCGAAAAACACATATATAATTACATATTGTTTTTGTGATTAATCACTATGCTTTAATTATGTTCAATTTGTAACAATGAAAATACATCCTGCATATCAGATATTTACATTACGATTCATAACAGTAGCAAAATTACAGTTATGAAGTAGCAACGAACATAATTTTATGGTTGGGGGTCACCACAACATGAGGAACTGTATTAAAGGGTCGTGGCATTAGGGAGGTTGAGAACCACTGTTTCAGCCCTTAGGAATTCATTACTCACTAGCTTTAAAACTAATTAAAAGCATTTTAAACTAGTCCATGTTTGTATGCCATTACTTCCTAAGATATTTGTAATTCACAAATTGGGACTAGGGACTATTCCTTTTACTTGGAGTAGCCATAACTAGCAACCTATGGCTCTAATCGCCATGAGTTTCAGCTCAAAAATTATTTGAAGGCCAGAATGCCTAGTATCTTGCTTTACCTTTAGAAATCTTTACTTTTCTTCATCACAGATATTGTTCAAGTTTTCATTATCAATAACTTGCTCTGGGGTTTCATTTCTAGATACCTGGAAGATCTCAATGAAGGTGTTTACATTCAACAAACCATAGAAACTGTGCTTCTCAATGAAGATGGAAAACAACTTTTAGTAAGTGCTAGTGACCATTTAAATAGAAGTTCAAGAATGTCAAGCTTAACATCACTTTTTCCCTGTAAGTCACAAGTGCATACAGAGTACCCTTTAAAGTGAAGCAAAATTCACTGATAATTATCTTCTAACTAACAGATCTGTGTCTGAATGTAGAACATTGTAGACTTTGAACAGAATTACAAGTGAATAAAGATGGTGTCGAGTTTCTGAGCTTCCTCAGTGTAACAGTCCTCTCTTCTTTATCTTTTCCATCCCAGACATCTAGCCTCGTATCTAGTATAGAGTGATCACTTAAGCAATGTCTGTTAAGTAAGTGAATGACTTAGGGGTGTTCATAATATTGGTATCCCAAGCAAAATATCAAAACCAGGCCAGCTGAAAGGTAAGCACTCTGAGTTGAAATTTATTTTGCATAAAATTGTTAAAGCTCATTCTGTACAGAAGGTGAGAAAACCCTTCGGGAGAAACCTACATTCTCCTTGTAATAGGAAGCTTGTAGGAGGAATGGGAGCAAAGTGACCTTTTTAACCATCATCAGCATCCCTCCATGAGAATGTGTCCTCCTGTGAGTTTGGCCATTATCTCTTTCTCTTCCTAGTGTGAAGCGCTGTACCTGTACGGAGTCATGCTGCTGGTCATTGACCAAAAGATTGAAGGGGAAGTCAGAGAGAGAATGCTGGTTTCTTACTATCGATACAGGTATCCCTGGGTTGGGGCTGCACGTGCCAGAAGCATGCTATCGGTACAATGCAGTGTAGGTTTCTGTATTGCTTTTATTGTGCAGCAATGTGATCTAGAAAGCAAAGAAGAGAAGATTCTTAATTTCTTCTGGAGACACAATAAAAATTACAGCAGTTACTATATATTTTACATCATCATAACAGATTAGATATCATATAATCTCCAGATTACATATATGTTATAAATTATTAGAGATATACGGATTGTCATGTCCATGATGATACCTCAGTTTTGGGGGGTGTGGTGTGTTTTTTTAAGGGAATCTGAATTTTCTTTCTTTACCTTAAAGATAAATTTGCAAATGTGGAAGTCTAATGAATGTTCTTTTTTGGTTGGTTTGTTTTTGTTTTTAAGTTTCAAATGTTACTCCTTGGCAGATGTAAGGAAATGGATGAATTTTCTGTTGTCAGTTTCAGGTTAATGGCTTTGAAAAGTTATCACTCAGAGGTCAGGTTGAAAGGGAGTTCTCACTCATATACATGCACGAGACAAACACTAAACAAGCAACAGCACCCCATCATGATCATGTGTTAGGTATGTCTACAAAGCGCTGTGACTTCAAGGAGTACCACTTCAACCAACTCTAATTCTAGTACCTAGTACACAGGTTTCAATTTGTTGACTTAATGAATCAAAATCTGGATACAGGGTTAATGTGAGAAATAGCCAAATTCAGGGAAGAAACAGTCAATAAGCAGGAGTCAGGAACTTGAGCTAAAGATGCATGGACTAGAATTAACATTTTCAAACTTACAAATTAGGACAACCTAAATAGGGCAAGGAGGGAGATCCAACAGAGGGATTGTTTGGGGACCCCTGGGACTGCTGCCTGCTCAGCAGTAAATTACTCTTAGCTACTCAGCTGGCCTGCTTCCTCTCAGCCTTATCAGTGGGAGGAGACTCTCCGCCCACATGCATAATTCAGTCTCATCTGCGTGACCAAGAGCTGTCTTAACATCCGTGGTTTTAAAAATGAACTTCGAATGGCCTTGCCTATATTTCTGAAAGTACCTGGAGGAACAAAAGGTAAATGACAGAAAGAAGAAGAGAAAAGTGCTTCTCAATCCCAGCTTGGACAATCTGGCTTTGTCCCTTTGGGTACAACAGCTAATTCACTGGAATGTAAGGCCCCATTATTGAAGTGACACGGAAAAATTGCAAGTCAGAGTTGTGACAGAGGAGATTCCTACATTCAGTAGGAGGCCATCATCAAGTCTAAGATTCTTTGAGTCTCTGAGGGAATCCTACTTCAAACCATCCCGAAAATCATAGATGTTTTGATTAAATCTATGTAGAAAGTGCCCCTTAACAAGAAAAAACAATGTGTATCCTACTTTAAATTGTCTTGATTTTTTTGATTTTTTTAAATATATTTTATTGGTATTTTATGGTGAGGAAGGGAGAGAGATAGAGAGTTCGAAACATCGATGAGAGAGAAACATCAATCAGCTGCCTCCTGCACACCTCCTACTGGGGATGTGCCCGCAACTAAGGTACATGCCCTTGACCAGAATCGAACCTGGGACCTTTCAATCCGCAGGCCGACTCTCTATCCACTGAGCCAAACCAGTCAGGACAATTTTTTTAAAATTATTTTTTAATTTATGAAACATTGGTGCAGGTTCACATTCTTTATGTACAACTCTGAAATCCAAAGAGCTATGGAAAATACACATACACACACACACACACATAGTAACTCCTTTGGCAGCAAAATATGATCCAACCTGAAATCATATGGAGTCAAAACCTGACCAGAGCAAATATGAGGCTATGGATAGTCTTCATTTATCTCTCTTGTGTGATAGTCCTAAAATTTGCTATAAAAATATTAATGTGTGGTGATCATGGAATGCCAGCTGACACCCTACTGGACTATTATATTGTACATGGTCTGTGCACATATTACTTTCTTACATTTGGAAAATGCTGTATTCTGAAACAAATCCAGACCCACAGATTTTGGAAAAGGGACAGTGGACCTTGACCTAGAACTGTACTTACATCCAAGAACCCATCATATGTTTGCTGTATTTTAACAGGCTTTTTGAAAATATGATTTTGAATCTTAAGGATATAAATTGACCCACAGTGATATCTAAAACTAGATAAAATCAAGAAATTCTTCTGCTTTGTTGGACTTTTCAGTTTCTGATGTGTGTGGTTTGGCCCTTTATTTCCCATTGTGCACGTGACTCAGTGCCGCCCGATCTTCTGCTGATTCAAACATGGACGATATTTGTAAGCTGCTCCGAAGTACAGGTTATTCCAGCCAACCAGGAGCCAAAAGACCACCCAACTACCCTGAGAGCTATTTCCAGAGAGTGCCTATCAATGAATCCTTCATCAGTATGGTCATTGGTCGACTAAGATCTGACGATATTTACAACCAGGTGGGAAATGAGTCCACTAAGACCTTAGTCATTTAAAAGTCCGATTTCACTTTCCTCCTCAATTCCTCCTGCCCTTCCTGCTTTCTCAAAAAAGTAAAAGCAGCTAAAAATTATTCAAGACCTTTGAGCTGTGCTGTGGGATGGGAGAGAAAAGAGGGATATTGATTTAGGCAGAATTGGAGATTTCTGGGAAGAGATGGGATTTGAGCTCTATTGGGAAAGAAGTAGTTATTGAGTGGATGTATGTGCCTGTGCACGTGCTGGGGATACATCGCTGATGGAGGGAGGCCATGGCTCCTGTGTACAATGGGCTCGTAGCTGAGGAAAGAAGACAGACAACTAAAGAAATTACGGGGAAGCAAGATGCGTCGTATCTTGGGGAAGCACGTGTGTCAGGGAACAGGTGTCAAAGGGGATGTGAGAGCAGTCCAGGCAGAGGAGGCAGCATGAGCAGGACTGGAAACCCTGCCTGCCCTGGCCAGTGTATCTAAGTGGTTAGAGCAACAGCCAGTGCACCAGTGTTGTCTGTCTGCCCCACTCTGCCCTGCCCTCCCCTGTCCCTGGCTGATTGGAGTGGGGCAGACCCTTGACCCAAGATGGATCAGATTCCATCTCCAGGTAATTTGGAATTGGGCCTGAAAAACAGTTTCTGGGTATGGGTTTACTCCCAACATGCAAAACCTAGACTTTGGAGCAGCCTCATTCTGCCATGTTATGGAAAACATTCTGGAGAGAGAAAAACATTGGGCAAACATCAAAAAGAGAAACAGTGAGGGCTTTGTGGTTCACAGCTCTAGGCCCTTCCAGAGAGCTGGTTCCATGAGACATCACTCTGCTGTCCTTGTAATCATTCCTCCCTTCCTGCTCAGTCCTTGAGGTGATATGTACTGTGAGCAGCCAAAGATTCCTCAGGCAGGAGGCGATGGACACACCAGCACTGGGAAGCTGGCAGGAGAACCCCCTGCAAAGCAGATTAGAAGAGTGGTGGCTGGGAAACCAGCGGAGAGAATTTCGTTCCTGAGAGAGCTTAAGTGCGAGTGCTAAAAAAGGCATTGAATTGCGTGATTGTGAGCTTATGAGTGACCTTCGGTGGAAGACATTTCAATGAGTTGACGAGCAAACAGGCAGTGAGAAAATAGCAATAGTGAGTGTGGATTCTGTCAGTTCTAAGAGATTGTGATGGGAAAGACACAAAATGGACAACTAGTGGGAGTCCTGGAGTTGCAACTCTCTTTTTGTAAGGAAACGGCTTAGAATTGCAGCCGAGTTGAGGGCTGGAAGGAAGAGCATCAAATCGGGTGGTTGGGGATAAGAAGGAAGGCCCTGCCAGCAAAGCCAGGAGAATGGCTTCCAGGGTCCGGGTGCTCTGAAGAGATGGCTTTTGGAGACTGGTGTGTCCTAGGATGCAGTCATATACTTGGCGCATGGAAGTTCAGTTGTTACCAACGGCTGCCTCTCCTGGTCTCCCCTCTGTTTGCAGGTCTCAGCGTACCCCTTGCCGGAGCACCGCAGCACGGCCCTGGCAAATCAGGCCGCCATGCTGTATGTCATTCTCTACTTTGACCCTTCCATCCTTCATACCCATCAAGCAAAAATGCGAGAGATAGTGGATAAATACTTTCCAGATAATTGGGCAAGTATTGCTATTAGGTTTTTTTACTCTATAAGTTTATTAAAGAACTGGTTTCTCCATTCTTTTGGCCTATTACCCAGAGGTCATAATGTTGTACATAGTGAGACATAAAAATCACTTAGGTAGAATTACTTTAAGTGTGTTGAGAATTTTATAAATCATAACATGAAGGAATAGATCAGCCAGTAAAATTTCCTGAACCTGTTCCTTTTTTTCTCAAATGGGCACTCTCAAGGTAAAACCATATATTTCAACGTGTCTTGCTTTTTAGCTACAGAGATTGCAGCTAAGTTACACAAGCCTTTCTTCTTATTTTGACTCGAAGCTAGCAGAATTTATCTAATTTGTCGTTTTATGAATAGAATTTCACTTTTATAATAGGTTTTCTCTATACGCTCATGCTGATGGGGCTATGAAGGTTTAGCTTCCTGCAGGGATTTGCTTATCACTTTTTAATGTTACAGTAGTAATTCTTAAAAGAATAAAACTGACTTAACAAACTTAATATATGTGAAATGTTTTCTTCGCTCATAGAGGTTTTCACAAACAGTGAGTTGGATCATATTCTCAGGCAGCAGATTTCTTACCATCTGTGGAGTCTCAAACTATCTGTGATGAGGCCCCGAATGAGGACCTTTACTGGTGGGAAGAACAGACTGCAATTAGGAGATGGTGCTCCCTGCCCACAAATGATTCTTCTCACACAATAGTGTTGAGCCACTGAGAAGCACACGCTGATTGTCTGGCTCCATTTGCCTGAGCTTCATACAGAGGTGTTGGCTGTAATGCTATTCTCAGAAACACTCTGAGTATGAAGGAAGGTCAGACCCACCTGGTGCACTGAAAATAAAGGGGGAAAAAAGATATGTCAGGCAAATGCCAACCAATAAAAAGCTAGTGAAAAAACATTAATATTACATCAAGAGAATATTAAAGAAAAACACTAATAGGGATAAAGAGGCATTGTATGTAATATTTTAAAAAAATAAATGTAAAACAATGCCATTCTCAGTTTTTTGGAGGGAAAACTTTGATTATTTTAATACAAAAATATGTTAGCATGTAATGGGTTTATTGTTATTTTAAATGAAATTTTTCAATTTTAATGTGTAATATGATAAATATCAATAGATATAATCCACATTTTTCAAAAACATTCTTTGGGGTCCTCAGTGACTTTTAAGAGTGTAAAGACTGAGATGAAAATGTTTGAGAACATTGTCTAGTCAGTCTCTGTCTCTTTCCCCTTTCATTTTCCTTCACCTAGGAATCTAACTAACACATAGCACTTTGAAAGGAAAATCTCCTTTTACTTATTGTTCATGAACAGCAACATTGTCACTTTTGTTCCAGAGTCCTCCTAAGTAAGAACACTTCCCTATGTATCTGGAACATCTTGCTTTCTCATTGGTTTTCATTGGAATGGAATTTAAAATGGGAGTGGGCGATGTGTCCTCTAACTGTGTATTTTCCGAGCCCCTTGCCTGGACGTGGGTGGGTATTTAGCAAATGCTGAGTGAATGTCTCCTCTTTCAGGTAATTAGCATTTACATGGGGATCACAGTTAATCTAGCAGATGCTTGGGAACCTTACAAAGCTGCAAAAACTGCTTTAAACAATACCCTGGACCTTGCAAATGTCAGAGAACAGGTAAGTTCTGGCCAGTCGGGGAGGATTCTCAAACAACCTCCAGCCTGCATTAATAGGGTAGGAAATGAGCCCATTAGATTTCCAAAGGCATTTGGAAGATGTCCACAAAAACATGAATGCAATGATTAATGAAAGCTGATTTTTGCAGAATAAGATAGATTAGTTGTAGATTTTTAAACTTGTATCTTATACAGAAGTGGGAGACTTGGGTCCTAAGGAGGATTCAGCCACCTAAGATGAACCAACGTGACATGTGCTTCCCATTGACTTGGTTTATTCTTGCTTAAAGATTGTGTCCTTATGTTCTGGTTACTTTTACTGGTAACCAGAATTTTAATATTGTCGTCAACAAGATGGGTGTTGAAGACAGTAACTGAATGTACACATATGCCCTGTCACTACTTTAAATTCATCATTTCTGATGTGCAAGATACACAACAAGACTGAAGGCATTCCTCTCAAAGTTTAAATTGCTACATTGTGTCTCTTTAATAAAGAACACAAGGTAGCCCTAGCTGGTATGGATCAATTCATTGGAGCTTTGTTCCGTAAACCAAGAGGTTGCAGGTTCGATCCCTGGTCAGAGGAATTAAAATAAAATCTTTTATTGGGGAACATACTTGGTATTTCTGAACAGCTATCTTTCTCAGCCTACCTATCTGAGTTTTTGAGTTTCCAGTGTGGATAGAATAATATTGATTCAAAGACCTCGCATGTTTTATTCTGATACATTGCAATCCATAAATAATGCACAAAATAATTGCAATTCTGGAATATCTCCTAGAAATATATTGGAGAAAGTGGTGCTTTCATACTTACCAGCATCAGAGCATTAATTTTTCATTACTGAAATCTCTTTCCAAAATTGCATTTTCTTGTTTGTGACATTGTAAGAAATTCTTCAGAGTCTCCTGATGAAGCATCTAGTGATAGTTTTAAGCTAATCTGACGAGGTTAATGATGTTTGACATTAAGTCTTGCCGAGGGCAAATCAGAATGACCAAATTTACCAAAGGTCTGCAAATTCAGTTTTGATGCACTGAGGTGTGTTTGTTGTGAAGTTTCATCTGTCTGTAGAAGTCTCATCTTTTGAGTATTTCTACTCTGCTCTGACTCCTTTATTGATAATAATGGAAAGAACAGATAATTTAGCTTCTGCCTTTATGTTTCTTTTCCACCCAAGAATAGAAGGAAACCACCTGATCCAGTTCTCCAGTTTACATTTGGAGAAACCAATATGCAGAGGTTAAACCCAGAGTCACACCAATATTTAATCACAGCCTGGACTAGATTTTAGTCTCTTAATCCTAAGTCCAATACTCTTTTTTTTAAAAATATGTCTTTATTGATCTTAGAGAGGAAGAGAGAAAGAAAGTCAATGATGAGAGAGAATCATTGATCAGCTGCCTCCTGCATGCCCCACACTGGCAATCGAGGCTGCAACCCAGGCATATGCCCTGACCAGGAATGGAACCAAGACCTCCTAGTTCATAGGCTGATGCTCAACCACTGAGCCATACTGGCCGGGCAGTCCAATACTCTTTTTAAAAATGTCCAGTACACTCCCGTTGAGCCTTATCTACTACAGTCCATATGTTAGGCATCTCATATAGAAATGTCATCATCCATCCAGGGATTCATTTCAGTGTGATTCGCTTTTTAAATGTGATTCACCTTTTTTATTTGCAAAGGCAAGCAGATATGCCACTGCCAGTGAACGAGTGCACGCTCAAGTGCAGCAGTTCCTGAAAGAAGGTTACCTGAGGGAGGAGATGGTCCTGGACAACATCCCAAGGCTTCTGAACTGCCTGAGAGACTGCAACGTGGCCATCCGATGGCTCATGCTCCACACGGCGGACTCAGGTGAGGCACGGAAGGTGTGGCCGTCTGCATCGCTCCACGAGAAGGTGTTCAGAGCTAAGATCTGCTTCGTGATGCAAAGTGGTTTAGCTCTTGGATGAGAATTGAGTTGCTTTCTAAGTTAGTCATTCTGTGCCTCCTTGGACAAGTCAGTGCCCACCTGAACAACCCCTTCGTCAGGTACTGCTAGGTGCTTGGAATCTGAAGAAATTTACCTCCCTTGTTCAAGGATCTTGTCACTGGGCAAACTGGGGAGATCAGATGTATACATATGAAAAGTATAACTATAGATCTGTGGTGGGCAGAATAATGTCTCCCTACTCCCTCCCAAAGATGTTCATGGCCTAATCCTCGGAACCTGTGGGTGTGTTATACTATGTGGCAAAGGGGGTGTAGGGGGGTTAAGGTTACAGATGGAATTAGGCTTCTAATCAGTTGATCTTAAAATGAGGAAGTTATTCCAGTGGGTCCAGTGCAGTCACAGAGGTCCTTAAGTCAGGTAAAGGGAAGTGGAGAGTCAGAACTAGAAAGATGGCATCATGAAAAAGTGGGTTTTCCCTGGAGCCTCCAGAAGGAGCACAGTCCACTGACAACTTGCTTTTAGCCCAGTGAGACCCATTTCAGATTTCTCACCTCTGGAGCTATCCTATATAATAAAAGCCTAATATGCAAATCGACCAAACTGCAGAACAACCAGTCCCTATGACGAGCACTGACTACCAGGGGGCAGATGCTCAACACAGGAGCTGCCCACAGGCCCCAGGCTGGCCAACGCAGGTGCCAGCAGGGGGCCTCCAATCGTCCCGCTGGTCGCCCCACAAATTGGCCCTGATCGCCAGCCAGGCCTAGGGACCCTACCCGTGTGCAAATTTCATGCACCAGGCCTCTAGTAAGGAAATAAATTTGTGTCTTTTTAAGCCACTAAGTTTGTGGTAATTTGTTACAGCAGCAATAGGAAAGTAATGCAAGGGCTGCGCCCATGACTAAGCCAGACGGATGGTGGGATTTGAGTCCAGAGCAAGAGAGAAACATAGCTTGGGATGGAGAGGTGGCGGTGGTCAGGGAAGGCTCCACTCAGGAGGCAGGAGCTGACTGGCCTTTGATAAGTTTCAAAGTGAAAAAAAAAAAACACAGAAGAAATTCTAGACTGAAGAAATACTAGAAGAAAAGGTATGATTTGGGCATAGGCCCACTGAGTTGAGGAACTGTCTAGACAAGAGCACTTAATTAAGGTAGATTGGTATTAACCTTTTCTGGGTCAAGGTCCTCTCTGAGCCCCTATTGGCCATGAAGGTCAGCGCTTCACAGGTTGTGTGAAACACCTCCACAGGTGAGCCCTGGTTCAATGGTAGAATGTCCTTCTAGCTCCCATCTGTGAGTGGTCAGTAGTTGGACTTCCTCATCCTTTGCATCTTTGAAAATGTGTGGCATTTCTCCTCAGCCTCTGTCTTCTCACTAGAAGTCTCCAGCTTCTTAAGCCTTTCTCTCTAGAGCAGTGATTCTCAACTTTGGCTGCACATTAGAATCACCTGGGTATCTTTTTAAAATCCTGATTTCTGGGCCTCATCCTCCGGAAATTCTGTTTCTTTGTTATGGGGTGGGGCCACAACATTAGTAACATTTTTATTTTTCTTTGGTTAATCCTCACCAAGGATATTTTTTCCATTGAATTTTAGAGAGAGTAGAAGGGAAGGGAAGAGATAGAGAGAGAAACATTGATGTGAGAGAGACATATAGATTGGTTGCCGCCTTCACAGGCATGGCTGGGGCAGGAATAAAGCCTGCAATCAAGATACGTGCCCTTGATCAGAATTGGACCCAAAACCCTTCAGTCTTCAGGCCAATGCTTTAACCACTGAGCAAACAACTAGGGCATATCTGTTTTTTTAATTAGTTGAGTTTGTCTTACATAAACTCTAGTTCTAATTTGTGGATTTTACTACATCAACTCAGCTTATAATCTTCTTTACCAAATGTCTTACCTTCTCAAGCCTATAAGCAACTCAAGCCCTCACTTTATCCTCTCCAGCTGTGGTTTTCTAGTGACTCAGCCTCATCTCCATGTTTCTGACTCTGGGAGCCAGTGGTTCCCTGGATTTGCATCCTGCCAGGGACCACCTCAGCCCGCCAGGGTCCTCTGCTTTTATCTTCAGCCACATCTGTTTTCCATTTCTGTGCCTGGAAACTGTCTGACCTGATTGCACAAGGTCATAATTTACCAGAAACAGATGATCCGCCTATCTGGTTGTGAGTCATATGTGGGAAGAGTAACTGCTTATTTCGCTTTTATGGTGTTTTAGTCATATGTGCAGAAGGAAAGTGTGGTCTTCATCTGCCTCCTATTAACCGGCTGGAGGCATTCACCCAGGCTCAGGACTGCCTGCAGCTACTGAAGAAACGGTGTCAGAGGCTCTGCCTGTCCCTATTGGACACTCGATAATAAATCAACCCCCAAATGCTTGCAAAATCTGGAAATACATTCCGTTTAACAGTTCAATTATACTTTCTCCCATAGCATACATGTACTTATAATTAATTTTATCATGTTGTTGATATACATTTTGCTGATTACCTTTTAAAAACTTAAAATGAAGGAAAGTATTTAAGAATTCATATTCCATAGATAGTCCCTACACATTTAATAAATGGAAACTCTTTTCTGTTCTAGCCTGTGACCCAAACAACAAACGCCTTCGTCAGATCAAGGACCAGATCCTAACAGACTCGAGGTACAATCCCAAGATCCTCTTCCAGTTTCTGCTGGATACTGCACAATTTGAGTTCATACTCAAAGAGGTAAAAATATTGAATGGATAATCACCAAAGTCATAGTTTTTTTATGGCTAGTGTTTGTTTGTTTGTTTGTTTGTTTGAAAGATTGGGATTTAGTAGCAGTATCTGTGATTCAAGCTACAGATTCTCGCTGTCTGAGATAATTCTTATGAAAAAGGACAGAATTAACCACTGAACAAGCATTTAGTGCCAGCTGTCATTGGAGCCACGGTGATGGGGGAAAGTGCACAGGATTGTGGAGGTTGCAGTCTAGTGAGGCGTATGGACATGACCCAGAGACTCCCCCTAATGAAGATGCAAATACAAACTGAGATACATGCTCTGAAGCAGTGGTTCTCAACCTTCCTAATGCCGTGACCCTGTAATACAGTTCCTCATGTTGTGGTGACCCCCAACCATAAAATTATGTTCGTTGCTACTTCATAACTGTAATTTTGCTACTGTTATGAATCGTAATGTAAATATCTGATATGCAGGATGTATTTTCATTGTTACAAATTGAACATAAATAAAGCATAGTGATTAATCACAAAAACAATATGTAGCCCTAACCGGTTTGGCTCAGTGGTTAGAGCGTCGGCCTGTGGACTGAAAGGTCCCAGGTTCGATTCCGGTCAAGGGCATGTACCTTGGTTGCAGGCACATCCCCAGTGGGGAGTGTGCAGGAGGCAGCTGAATCGATGTTTCTCTCTCTCATGATATTTCTAACTCTCTATCCCTCTCCCTTCCTCTCTGTAAAAAAACAACAACAAACAAAAAAACCAATATGTAATTATATATGTGTTTTCCGATGGTCTTAGGCGACCCCTGTGAAAGGGTCGTTCGACCCCCAAAGGGGTCGCGACCCACAGGTTGAGAACCGCTGCTCTAAAGAAAAGGACCACAATCTTCTGGGAACCTAAAGTGAAGGCTCCTGTCGTCGCTCTGACAACTTCCCTGAGAAGAGAAGCTTCTGACGGGGCCTGAAGAAGGGACCTGTCAGAGTTAGCTTAGACAGTGATAGGGAACATGGAGAACATTCCAAAGAGAAGACAGACTATGTCCCAGTCCTCTGGGTGAGGAACAGCCTGGCCAGCTCAAAACCTAAAAGACCAGTTGGCTGGAGGGGAGAGAATGCAAGTGGGAGGAGGTACAGAATGAGCTTGAACCGTGGGCCGGAGCCAGCCTGTGCTGGGCCCTGCAGGATTTGTCTTCATGTAAAAGCCATGATAGCCTGTTGCAAAGGGCCAAGTGGGTGGACGATTTGCATTTGAACAAGGTCCTCTCTTAAGGACTTTAAGGAGTTTGAGTTCACTGAAATTCTGGGCTTCGTCTTATCCCTAAAGAAGCTTCTCTGGGCATGATAAAAGTGGCAGGTTGCCGTAGCAGATTTGGCTCAATGGATAGAGCATCAGCCCCTGGACTGAAGGATCCCAGGTTCAATTCTGGTCAAGGGCACGTACCTCAGTTGCAGGCTCAATCCCCCATCCCTGGGGGATATGTGTGGGAGGTAACCAGTCATGTCTCTCTCACATAGATGTTTTTCTCTCTCTCTTTCTCCCTCTCCCTTCCACTCTCAAAAAACAAAACAAAACAATGGAAAAATATCCTCAGGTGAGGATTAACAACAACAAAAAATTGCAGATACCTGGGAATGCCCAGGTTCTGGAAACAGTAACCTTGGGGGTTTGGAGCAGGTGAGCCCAGGAACTAGCCCGGGACAATAATGCCCATTCGGAACCAGTACTTAAGCTTGCCTCAGTCTGGTGAGGAGTATACTGGATGTTTCTTTAGCTCCTAGGTATGAGGACACTGTGTTCTCCTATGAGGGAGCTCAGAAAAGTAGGTGTTGATGATTAACCTGATGTTAATGCGTGTGCTGCATGATTTCAGCGACTAGTCTCCGTATAACTTTGTGTGATCAGAGAAATGCCACAAAAGTACAGGGGTTTATTTCCCTTGGATTTTATAGGAAAGTACGCATGAATACTGGTTTTCCTCTGAAGAAATTCTTTATTTTTTCACAGTGAATATTGAAAAGACGAGCAATGGAGTGGGGAGACTCCATCTGCAGATGGAAGCTCGGTGGAATTTTGTGTGTGGGGAATCTTAGTGATAGGGCAGGATGAGTGACCAATGAAATAAATAATAGGATGAAGAACAGTGAGAATTATTTATAGAGTTCACCCTATCTTATTGAGTGCCTAGGATCCATCAATGCCATTTGGCCAGCAATAGCAACAACACTATCAACCTGAGGCCTTCATTACAGACCAAATGGCTTTGAGACCTTCGAACACTCATTCACAGGTTGAACCCACAGGTTCATAAATTATAGGATGGGATTTGGGATAGGGGATGGGGCTTAAATTAGGAGATGCACCTTCCTGTAAAGATCAGAAGCAGCACAGTTTCAATTAGTGGGATTATAGGAGAATCAGAAAGTGATGCTCAAAAAAGGGTTTGGGTAGAAGGAGGTAGGAGAGATGAACACATAGGTTAAGGAACCAAACTGAACCATCAGAAAGTCATATTATCATTGTTTTGCTCTATTTGTATTGGGCATCATAGAAATTGTTGCCTCGAAAAGACCGTAGAGCAGTAGTCGCCAAATTTCATTTCATGTTACAATGCTGATTCCTGGGCGTACCCAAGACCTGTGAACCAGAATCTTCAGAGGTGGAGTTCAGGAATCTAACCATGAAAGCCCTCCAGGGGGTGCTCATGTGCAGTTGATCTGAGAAACACTGCATTAGGGAGGGGCCAGCTTTGCCCCTCCATTTGTATAAGAAGTCAGGCTTAAGAGATGTCAGCAGGGTAATGTGAATGTTAGACATTATATTTTTCTAATAAACTGGATGTCATCCAGGCTTTCTTAGTAAATGGCCTAATCTGGATTTTCTCTTAAGTAAATGAATCTCTTCTGTCCCTTCAACAGATGTTCAAGCAAATGCTTTCAGAAAAGCAAGCCAAGTGGGAGCATTACAAGAAGGAGGGCTCAGAGCGAATGACAGAGCTTGCTGACGTCTTCTCAGGAGTGAAACCCCTAACCAGAGTGGAAAAAAATGGTAATTGCTGAAGAAGAAATGGGCAGAGACAAAAGTTCTTAGTTGTTACCCATTGTGGGCTAGGACATTGCTAATGAAGATCCCTGGGCAATATCCATATCCTGTCTGGTTTCTTATCTTTGAAGAATGAGATTAAACTAAATCAAGGGTTCTTATTCTCTGGTTCATAGTCTTTAATAGAATCACTAGAGGCCCGGTGTACAAATTCATGTACAGGTGGGGTCCCTCGGGGTGGTCTGCGGGGATTGGGCCCCAGCTCGCACCCACAGCCTTGCAGCCCCACAGCCCTGCCTGGCACCCCGCCACCCCCTCACCTGCTCCACCATCCCGCATGTGGGGAGATTGATTGGGGTTGGGCTGTGGGGCTGCAAGGCTGAACAAGGTCCTCTCTTAAGGACTTTAAGGAGTTTGAGTTCACTGAAATTCTGGGCTTCGTCTTATCCCTAAAGAAGCTGGTCACCATCTGCGGGGTGATTGCCGGGGCAATCAGGTTCCCGATTGCACGCGCCTTGGCCCAGCACTGCCCGCTCACCTGCTCCACCATCTTGCCTCGGTCCCGCTCTCATCAGGGCCCATTGGCCGGCAGCACATTCACTGTCGCCCACTGCCAGTGCCGACGCCAGCCATGTTCCGCGCTGCCCCCTGGTGGTCAACACACATCATAGTAAGCAGTCGAACTCCCGGTCGAACAATTTGCATATTAGGCTTCTATTATATAGGATAATCCATCCCCCACCCCCCACTATAGTATGCAATACTAGAGTGTCAGTTTGTGTGTGTGTGTGTTTGCAGGGGGGGGGGGGGGAGGACTATAACTGTCATGATCTTCTCAGAAGGATACTTCACCCAAAACATTAATAACTACTAACATAGATGATAAGGAGATTCTCACCTTCTGATCTTGTTTGGTTCTTTTTCACTGTTGCGCCTGCCATCTAGTGGCAGAAGAAGGAACCTGCAGACTGTTTTGAAATTAAACATAAGTATAACTTTGACTTTACTAGTAATCCTGTTTCATTTAAGAAATTTTATCTATAGGAAAATTGTGGTATTACTTCAGTTTTTATATAACTAGGAAACTTTCAAATTGCCCCTAAAAGGCCACTCTGAATTTAAAGATGACAAGTTACACTTTTTTTAAATGTTTAATGTTTGTTTTAACTATCAAATCCATTTCGATAGTTATACCATAAAATTGCTTAATAGTATAGATTTTTATTTTTAAAAACTTTACTATTTTTAATCAATATGAGCTTGTGATTACTATATTTGGCTTTTGTTGATTTATTTCAGTGGTTCTCAACCTTGGCTGCACATTCCTCTGGAATGAGGCCCAGAAATCAGGATTTTAAAAAGATTCCCAAGTGATTCTAATGTGCAGCCAAGGTTGAGAACCACTTATTTATTTGATGCCGAATGGTTGTCTAAAGTATATTTCCAAATGACGTCATTATTCCTATTGGAAAAAGTTGGCCAGTTTTTAATGATGTGATTTAAATTGCTAACAGGTTTTGCAGGTCACCATCTTGTGACTGAAAAACAAAGAGCCACCTGTAACCGTCTAACCAGATTAGTTACCTGGAATTGGCACATTCATCCCTGTTCAGTCTCTTTCAAGTCCTCATAAATACCAGCATTGTTTCAGAGGTCATTCAAAACAATGTCTTGTACATTTTCTGGCTACATAGCCTATTTCAGCTTAGGAAGTACTTCCACAAATCTTTCTCATTTGACCCTCGCAATTCTGTGAGATTAAACATCTTCATTCTTATTTTATATGTAAGGAAACCAAAGCTTAAAAATGTGGTCACTTGCCTAAGGTAAGAAAGGTCTAGAGCAGTGGTTCTCAACCTCGGCTGCACATTAGAATCACCTGGGAATCTTTTTAAAATCCTGACTTCTGGGCCTCATCCTCCAGAAATTCTGTTTCCTTGTTATGGGGTGGGGCCACAACAATAGTAACAAAGAAACAGAATTTCCGGAGGATGAGGCCCAGAAATTAAGATTTTAAAAAGATTCCCAGGTGATTCTAATGTGCAGCCAAGGTTGAGAACCACTTTTCTAGGTCATATGCCCTGGGCATTTTTGTTGTTTGGATAATTCCTGAGAGCAGTGGTAGGCACATAGTAAAAACTGTGAGTAAGAACTAGATTTGTGAAGAATAATTTAATTAAATTCAAAGCCAGTAGTCTTTCCTGCTTTCTGTATTAATAGAAAATCTTCAAGCTTGGTTCAGAGAGATCTCCAAGCAAATACTGTCTTTAAATTATGATGATTCTACTGCTGCAGGCAGAAAAACTGTGCAGCTGATACAAGCTTTGGAGGAGGTAAGGCGAGTCTTTTTTTTTAATGCTCTTATTTCTATGAAATTAGCAATTTTAAAAAATATATTTTTTTATTGATTTCAGAGAGGAGAGTGAAGGGAGAGAGATAGAAACATCGATGATGAGAGAGAATCATTGATCGGCTGCCTCCTACAAGCCCCACACTGGGGATCGAGCCTGCAATCCAGGCATATGCCCTGACCAGGAATCAAACTGTGACCTCCTGGTTCATAGATCAACGCTCAACCACTGAGCCACACCAGCCAGGCAGGAAACTCTTTTTAAATGACAGTTCTTGGATCATGAATGATACTTCTGACCCACCCACCAATCTGCTCCTAGAAGTGTATCTAAGAAAATATTTTATCAAAAGCAAAAGTAATACAAATTAATCTGCTCACTGTAATATTATATACAGTGTCCTTAATTTGGGAAAGTAATTAAATGGCCAGCAAGAAGAGAATGGTTGCAAAAATTGTGATATTTCAATTGTGGAAACATGATGTCTCAGAAAAATAATTATGAAAACAAGATAGAAACATTGGGAAAATTGTGGTAAGGAAGTAAAAGCAAAAAGGAAATTGCATTGCATATATCATTTTTAAGTTTGTAAAAAGAATATGCCCTAGAAAAAACTAGAAGGCATACAGAAAAGTGAAATAGTTGTATGATAACTATATGCTTATAAATGGTATGTTTTCTTTTGTGAAATAAAAGTTTATTTTTTTACTTACTCAAAAATGATTGTACCAAAAAGAATTATATACCGTCTCACTCTTAAAATGTTAAGTGTATATTTAACTAGGTTTAAAATGGAGACATTTTAAAACATCAGAGCAATAACTATAAACTCTATTATTTTTAAAACATCACCTATACTCATCTGTAACCCAGTCCAATTGGACTAATTGGTGTAATTAAAAGATATAATTGATATTTTTTTTTCTTGGCAGACATTCTTATAGGCTTGTTAATTTTGCAAGGTTTTTAGGATGGTCACTATTAATGGCCACAAAGTATAATCGAGCATTGTTAGCGTGCCAAATTCCCTGACCATTCCAGAACAGTTGCTCACTTGTACTGTTTTTATTTGGTTGTTTTGGATTTTCTAGTCTGTGGTATAACTATAAACAACTTTGTAAAACTCGGATGGCTTTTTATCTTTTGCGTTATTTAATCTGGCATGTAGCCCAGGCCCCTTGAATTATATACATTAAAGTTCGGGACACGGTGGAATCATTATTTCGTTTTAAAGAGTACATCAAAGGAACTTAATAATGCCATGTGCCAGCACCTTGGTTGTGAAGGAGCTTGCTTTGTTTTTTAGCAACCCTGCAAATCTTCAGAATTAAGAGGATTTCCAGTACGTGTTTATTGATTCCGAACTGGAAATGGGAGTAGTCACTCACGATATCAATCATATATTTACAGGATAAGAAGTCCCGCTCAGTTTCTAACCCTAGAAAGTTTCGCATGGGTTTATGACCTGGCTTACACATTCCTGAAATTATAATTTGAAATTAAAAATTTGCCAGGAAATTCTTCATTAGTAGTGTGCTTTATTTGAAGTGTTTTCAAGGAAAAGCAAACTCCGTAGAGGCCATTCAGGATTTTAAAAGGACGTGTATTTCTGTAACAGGTTCAGGAATTTCACCAGCTGGAATCAAATCTGCAGGTGTGTCAGTTTCTCGCTGACACTCGCAAGTTCCTGCACCAAATGATCCGAACCATTAACATTAAGGAGGAGGTGCTGATCACTATGCACATCGCGGGCGACCTTTCTTTCGCTTGGCAGTTGATTGACAGGTAATGTGGAGAGTCTGACATCTGCCCTTGAAGAAACCACTGTGAATGGCTTCTTACCATTTATCTCTCTTTACAGCTTCACGTCTATCATGCAAGAGAGCATCAGGGTAAACCCGTCCATGGTTACCAAACTCAGAGCTACATTCCTAAAGGTAAGCGGAGACCAGTGAGGTCACATTCTCAGCCACAAGGAGAGGTGGCCTTCATTGTTACCTCATTCATTCAGCCCAACATTTCATCCTTGTAGAAAGCTGGATAATCTTAAGTATAGCTATAGACTGGAAATCGTTAGCAGCTTTTCTATGAGAGCATGGTTTCAAAAGTGCCAGAAGCACTGGCAGTGTGAATAAGTTGGAGCATCTTCCAGAAAATTATTTTTAAATGAAGAAATAGATTTTGTAGTTTTACCAGTATACTAAAAATGTGAACCGTATGGGTCTTTTATTCCCTGGATGTAAATTAGATCCTTTTACTGATTCATTTTTTAAAAATTCTGCATGGGCCTTGCTCTCAAGGTAATATCAGATCATGATAAATGGACAAGTAATTTACGCAATGTCTTCTGACAGAATTACCATGTATATGAATTCTGAGGTGCATTTTCTTTCATATTTAACATCTCTGTCATTGGGGATGGGTTTTATCATCGATGGCACATCATAGTTTAGTTGTCAGCATGTTTTCTCTTTTTAAAAAATTTAATTTTTAAAAATATTGTTTTATTTTTTTAATCATCACCAAGGACAAGCTAAGAGAGAGAGAGAGAGAGAAACATTGATGTGAGAGAAAAACATCAATCGGTTGGGGATAGAACCCACAACCCAGATGTGTGCCCTGGCCGGGAATTGAACCAGCAATCCTTCGGTGCACAGGATGAAGCTCAACCAACTGAGCCACTGGGCAGGTTTTCTTTCTGAGAGGGACATAAATAACGACGTCTCACAGCATGACAGCTTTGCGTGGACTCAGTGCAGGGTCCTTCCACCAGAACGTCTGCTTTCCAGAGGACCAGCCGTCCTCTAGCGCAGTGGCTCTCAGACTTGAGGGCACATGAGCATCCCCTGGGGTGGGGGGTGTCACACACCGATCGCTGGGCCTCACCCCGAGGTCCGACTGAGGAAGTCTGGGTGGGGCAGGAGAACTGGCCTCTGCAGCACGTTCCCAGGTGCTCTTGGTGCTGCTGGTCCAGAGACCGCAGTTTGAGAACCCCTGCTGCAGCCAAAGACTTTCATTGTTTAAACTTACATCCATGTCAGAAACTGTTAATGACATTGAAAAGCTCAGCAGTTGTTGCTCTCTCTTGGGTAAAGCCCAGGAGCTTTGTTATATGTCACGATCTCTGGAAAAAGAGAGACTTCTAGGGCTTTCCGAAACAGGGAAACGGCAGACCTATCGTTTTTCTTCCAGCTCGCCTCTGCCCTTGACCTGCCCCTTCTCCGCATTAATCAAGCCAACAGCCCTGACCTTCTCAGCGTGTCTCAGTATTATTCGGGCGAATTGGTGTCCTACGTGAGAAAGGTAAGAAGTGCATCAAAGCTGTATCATTTTTCTTGGCAAAGTAGCTGCTATTTTAAATACAAAAAGTATGTCTGGGCCCCTATAAAAAGTCCACCCACGTCTCTTTCCCTTGTTAGTATTTGATTCCAGCAATTTGCAGTGGCTGAGAATCAGCGTATTGTTACTGTGGATGTGCAGGTGTGTCTTCACTTTGAAAGAACTTCCATTCCCATTTTTTAAATGCGGGTGGTTTCAACTTCCGTTTTATAGACATAGAAACTGAGGAACAGACTATAGTGGCTTCAGAGTCACAGCATCGCTTGGTAAAAGGAGCCAGATCTAGATCCAGCATGTCCTAGTCCGAACATAACGTTTTCAGGGACTCTGGTCCTTGTTTCAAGAACTTATGAGGCAGCACAGGCCTGGATTCGAAATTGACCTGTGTCACATACTAGCTGAATGGTCTCTGGCCATGTCACTTAGCGTCTCAGAACCTCAGTCTTTTAAAAGCTTGTCATGGTGCAGCACAGGGAATATGGCTGATCATGTTGTAATAGTTGTTTGGGAGCTAGAATTATCAGAGGGATTACTGTGTAAGTTATATAAATATCCAGCATGCTATACACCTGAAACTAATACAGTATTGAATGTCAGCTGTAATTGAAAAATAAATGTAATTAATTAGTTAATTAATTAAAGGTATCCAGCAGCCTGTAAAAATAAATAAAAGTTGGTGATGTGAAAAAGCTACATTTTCTGTAGTGTTTCTATGAGGATTAGCTTTCTGTCCTGTGAGCAGTTCAAGATTGGAGGGGCGTAGCCCTGTGCCTGAGAGCAGGTATTGAAAAAGCTCCTTTAAGCCCCTCAGCATCCCTTCCTGCAGACAGCTGGCTTTGACACACTGGTACCCTTCTTGCTGTCAGAGCATTTATCAGCTAAGAAAAAGGAAAGAGGTGCTTCATTGTTTTCCGTCTTTTCTCTTTCCTTAAAGGTTTTGCAGATCATTCCAGAAAGCATGTTTACTTCTCTTCTAAAGATCATAAAGCTTCAGACCCACGATATCATCGAGGTGCCCACCCGCCTGGACAAGGACAAGCTGAGGGACTACGCCCAGCTGGGCCCACGATACCAGGTGGCTTGTCCCTTTGACTCATGCCTTTCGATATTTAAAACCTAAACCATGAAAGATCACAGGTCTGTGTCACCCGCCGTATCCCTGGGACCCCCAGACCAATTCTGATTTGTTTGTTCCTACACTCAGTGCTAACTCCGTTTGCTATTTTAGTGCCTCCTAAGTTCTTGCATTGTCCTGGTGTCAGTGAGGCCTTGCCTGCCTGAGTATTCTCAGAGGAGGTGGGGGTCTGCTGATCACTGTTCTGTAGAGTAGTCCTGGTGAATCAGGCCTTCGTCTCCCGGGGCTAGAGTGCCTAGACTTTTCATGTTCGGATCCCTGCTTTTACATCCAACCAGTGGCTCGAAATAATCTATGGTCGTTTAACCATGGCCTACAGCCAGACTCGGGGGTCCACTCAGTAGTTAAGCAGCCTCTGAGGTCATTATTCTCAAACACCTCTGCTTTTCTTTCTCCCTGAAAAGTGAAATCAAGTGAAAATTGAAATGTGCTGCCTGGGGTCCTCACATTCATCCCATTGTCAATTTCACACCCTCTGACACAGCTCCACAATTATACCATAAATTTATATACCATAAATTTAGATTCCAAGCTTGGGATTGCCACATCTGTTCCAACATAGCGCCTGTCTACCCGATCAGCGTCTCCTGGTGTTGCCTGAAAACAATGTAGACGGCAGTAAGGGGAGATACCTGCGTAGAGTCTCCACGAGCCTTTTCTACTTGGAAGGGATCATCCATGTCATTGAGTCCTGCCCCCATTTTGTGCATGAGTAACTGAGGCCCAAAGAAGGGAAAACAGTGGGTCAAAGTTTAAAGAACTATTTAATGTCTTCAGACTCAGTTTTCCAAGATGTCTCTCAGGGACACCCCGAAGCCTCATTTCTGACCAGGACACGTGCACACGGGGGTCCTAAAGCTACACGCTCATTCCAGTTGTCTTTGCCCATTTCCAGGACCGTCGGCCAATTATTTTACCTTCCCCTACCAACGGTGGGTCTTTTATCTGAAGTGCTTCACTAACCACTTTGTCTTTGTTAAAGGTTGCCAAGCTGACACATGCGATTTCCATTTTCACTGAAGGCATCTTAATGATGAAAACGACTTTGGTCGGCATCATCAAGGTAACGGCTTTGATGCTGGTCTGTGTGTCCTCATCATGAGACTCTTAGTTTGAATGAATGTGGTATTTATCCCTTGGGGAACAGGGAATGACATCATTCCCGTGTGTGCCTGCTGTTTCACATTCAGCTTCTGAGCTTTATATTACTCATGTATTGATGGAGGAAGAGAGAGCATTATAATCTTTATTTCTCATAATACCCAAGAGTTACTTAAATCTAAGAAAAATCCATTTTATTGACTTTATAATTTAAAAAAAATAGTTTAGTGCCCTTAGACAAAATAGCTGGCTAGTCCTCTCTCTTTCTGCCGCTTCCTTTTCCTTTTCAGTATTTTTATATTGTAACCAGGCGCAGAGAGCTGAGGTCATCCTACCTTATTGTCATTAGCAGGTCATTGTCAACACTGATGCATGTAAGCTGTCTCTTATTTTTCTCTTTCTCTTTTCCTGGGTACCCACAGAGCCCACTCTTTATGTTTGGTTTCTGTCCCTAAACATGCAAGTATCCTTTTTAGCATGTGGTGTTATTTTATGAGTGCATGTGTGTTTTTTATTTACCTAAATTACTGTGTTCTGTCTCTGATTCTTTCTCCACCTCTTCTCATTGGTATTGCTTTTGAAATAAATTACGTTGCTGTGGGTCAGGTAGTTGGTTACTTCTAACTGCTGCACTGATTTCACATTTGACGTAACCACTGCCTGAGGGCAAACACCTGTGTTGCCCAGGGTCTCACCTGTGCCCCCCCCTTTACCATCTCGGAACATGTCCCCATTGCAGACCTGTATAAGAATTTCTGAAATCTACATGCCCAGAGTGGGTCACTGGGTCAGACATGCCTTAATTTATACTTAATTTGTCTCAATACTACCAGGTTGCCTTCTGAAATGACCATTCTCTCTGTATCTCCCACATTTCCCCAATACTTGTTATTTTCCACTTTCTAATGTTTGCTTGCCCACGGGGTATAAAGTGGTATCTCACTGCTGTTCTAGTTTATTATCCTGAGATTAATGATATTCAAGGTGCTTTCATTTTCTTTTCTGTTTATCTGAGAGCAGTAAAACCTGAACATTTCTGATTTTTAATGAAGTGTAAAGCTATTGAATACCCAGGGTAACATTTATGTTAATAAAATCGAAGAAACTAGAGGAAATGAACCTAAAGAGATATGGAACTTACGATCTCTGGAAGTGCTTTAAAAAAGAAATACATTTACCCTTGGAGTATTAATAGAATCCGTTAAACATGCTTTAGTCCTGATGCCAGTTGAATTCAGTTGATATGGCGAAATTATACATGCAGCTTACCACTTCTGACTAATCCATAAAGTAGTGATAAATCCTAGGACCAGATTAAGTATCTTACATGTGAAGTGACCCTTATAAGAAGGATGTAATAAAACCTAACATTTAGCACTAATTATCAAAGCAAAGGCTGCTTAAGAAAGGTGTAAATCATTTGCCCCACACTTTCAGGTAATAAGAGCAGAGGGCATATCGTCCTGACCCCATCCCACCCAGGAGACGACTGTTTTTGCCAGTCTGACAGCCCAGGCCCCTTACGGATCTGGAACCTCCCAATGTGAAGGATCTATTTCAGACACTTGTAAAAAGTAGCAGTTCACTTTAGTCATGACTTAAAGCAAGTGAGATGTACACAGCGATATGTGTTCATTGTTAGAGTTAGCCCCCAAAAGAGTGATAATCTAAGTAGTATTTAATGGTAAGAGAATACATCCTGGTGTGCTCATGCTATGGATGGTCCTGCTGCCGTTCAAAATGAATTTGCCACTGGAAGATTTCCAGGAGTTAAAGTGAAAACAGTGAATTGCAGAACTCTGTGTGTGTGTGTGTGTTATCCCATTTAGATTTTTAAAATTAAATATGCATTTAAGGGCAAATATTTATGTATATAAATGAATAGAGAAAGTTCTGGAAGATCCATATGAAAATGGTTCCCTGTTGCTAAAATGGTTCCCTTTAGGGGAAGGGTTAGAAAGGTGAGGACGGGGTGTGTGAGGGGGGCTTTCTCTCTGCTGTGAACACTCCATAGATGAGTGAAAATCTAGGGAGAACGGGAAGGTCCATTGGAGACCTTTAGATTCCTGAAAACATTGAACTTCTCATCAAACCTGTTCTTATGAGGAATGTTTCTTTGAAAACTTCACGTTACTTCTTTGATTTTACTCTCATTGTTTATATTTATTTATAATTTACCTTTTTATTATAAAATAAAGCATAGATATTAAAAGCTGCAGAAACAATTGTATAGCTTAGTAGATTATTATAAGGTAAATATCATTCGTTTTCACCAACACTTAAGTCAAGACACATAATTTAGCCAGCTCCCACACCTATCCTCCCCCTCATGTGCTCTGACCTAATTTCAGTTTCTCTGTTTATAGTTTTATTATCCAAAAATAAATCTCTCGACGCTATAGTTTACATTTAAAATATATATATCATGTCTTTTACGTCTCTTTTAATCTCCAGGTTTCTTTATTCTTTTTTTCTATTGAAGAACCCAGGCCTTCGACTGGTATTCTCCCAGTCTGGATTTTGCTGATTGCATAGCCATGCTGTCGTGCAGCATGTTATTCTGGCTTTTGTAATTCCGCAGCTTTCATTGCATTTATCTTCCTTGAAGTTTAGACGTAACCAAATGCAGATGGAACCCATCAATTACCTTTATGACGTTCTGAAATAATGATTCTTTACAGATTAAAAAGAGAGACAAGTCTCAAGGAATCCAAAGGATGCCGTGAAGCTATTTAATGTTTACCGGTCTGATAGGAGACTGTTTTTGGGGAATAACAAAAGCTTTCTCATTACAGAAAAAAAGAATCAGCAAAATACGCTTAGGGAACAGATTTTCTTTCATATTTTATCTCCTAATTTCCAACACCATTCCCAGGGTGCTAAAAGGAGAGAGAATTGTTCCATCTGCAGAGCATCCAACCTAAACCTTGAGTTGCCCATATGGCTGTAGAGGCCCTGAGGTAACATCCAGAGGAAAAACGCACTGACTTCAATTGCAGACCCGTTATTCTGCCCCCTCCTGGTGATAAGAAAAGGAAGTTTAACTTGTAATGAAGTGATTAAAACGTGAGACAATTTGAAACTTCCATACCCACCCACCACCTTTGAAACGTCATGTTGTAAAATTATCATGAGTTTTACTGAGGTAAACCAGATCCTAAAGAGGTGACAGGCCTGATAATTCCGTCCTACTGAGCAGATCACAGAGGGACAGGAAGGGACAGCAGTCCCACTCCTTTAGAAAAGAGGTGGAAAGCGCTCCACTGGAAGTTCTTTCCTCTGGGCTTGGGGACCCGGCTTTTTCTCACTGCCGCTAATTACTCTTCGATTTTCACCCAGGTGGATCCCAAACAGTTGCTGGAAGACGGGATAAGGAAAGAGCTCGTTAAACGTGTTGCTTTTGCTCTTCATCGGGGATTGATCTTCAACCCTCGAGCCAAGGTACCAGATGACCAAACTACATCTGTCCTTTCTCTTGCTGTCTATTCAGTTTGAAAAAATGGACTAGAGCATCACTTTTAACTATTGTGAACAAGACCCTTCCTCCTAACATATATCTGATAGCTGATTTTCAGTACAATCAATAGATGTGCCTTTTGATCCAATATGGTAATGTATTCATATTATGAAAAAATCCGCCCTAACCGGTTTGGCTCAGTGGATAGAGCGTCGGCCTGCGGACTGAGGGGTCCCAGGTTCAATTCCGGCCAAGGGCATGTACCTTGGTTGTGGGCACATCCCCAGTGGGGAGTGTGCAGGAGGCAGCTGATTGATGTTTCTCTCTCATCGATACTTCTAACTCTCTATTCCTCTCCCTTCCTCTCTGTAAAATATCAATAAAATATTTTTTTTAAAAAAAATAAATAAATAAATAAATCCTTTCTAAAATCGGTCCTGTTTTTCTTTACCTGTTGATCCGCTAATATTTTTTTAATCCTCAACTGAGGATATGTTTTTATTGATTTTAGAGAGAAAGGAAGGGAGAGACAGAGAGAGGGGGAGAAAGAGGCCTTGATGTGAGAGGGAAACATCGATCGGTTGCCTCCCATACATCAACCAGGGATTGAACCCCCAACCTTTTGGTGTATGGGACAATGCTCCAAACAACTCAGCCACCAGCCAGGGCTGAACCCCTAATTTAAGAATTGAACTGATGTTTGTAATCCAGAGTTACTTCTTCTAGATACAGAACTTAATCGTAAAGCAAATAGAAAGTAAGTTTTTATTTGTTGAATGTATTAAGGAATATGGTCATTTTTCTCAGGAGAAAAAAGAAATAGGCCTGAAATTTATTTATATATATATATATATATATATATATATATATATATATATATATAGTACTTTTCACATCAGGAAATTCAGTTTAAAATAGTTGAAGTGTTTTAAGATAGATATACTCATCAAATGATGTGTGAGAAATCAACATTAATTTTTTATATTCTTTTGTATGAGGCTTCCTTCCCAGGTGAATGAAATCTATTCCTTGCTGAATGTCGGACCTTGGTTACCACTGATCCTAGATGAGTAGGAAATGAGCATTTTCCAAGGCGTCTTGAACTATCAGTGTGGTCTCTTAGGGGATCATTTAAAGTCCAGCGTGGATATTAGTGGTTAACAGCCTCCTGCAATATGATAGAATTTGTGTTTCCCCTTTTGCACAGCCAAGTGAATTGATGCCCAAGTTGAAAGAATTGGGAGCGACCATGGACGGATTTCACCGCTCTTTTGAATACATACAGGACTATGTCAACATTTATGCTCTGAAGATTTGGCAGGAAGAAGTATCTCGTATTATAAATTACAATGTCGAGCAGGAATGTAATAATTTCTTACGAACAAAGGTATCTAAGTGTATTTTTAAATTCTTGACTGTGTTTGTTATTTCTGACTTTTAAAATACATATCCTAGACTTCAGAAATGCCAACAAGAAAGTTTATTTAAACAGTGACTAAAATCAGTAAGCACTAGAAAGTCACAAATATCCAGAGTACCTATAGGAGCTGTGAGGGTTTCAAGGTTTATATGATACCTGACCTTTGGGAGTTCACTGTCCTATGGAGAAAACAAGATTAAATGGTTGCAGAATGAATCCATTTGTTATCATTGTTATAACTCAAGTGATCGAGAATTCAGAAGACTTAGAGGTCAGTTGGGTTTGATCAGAGTATATACCTAAGAGCGGAATTGCTGGGCCATATAGTAATTCTTTATGTAGCTTGATGAACCAACAAGCTATTTACCACAGTGCCTGCACCATTTTTATTTCCGCCAGCAATATCTGAGGGTTCTAATTGCCTAATTCTTCCACATCCTTGCCAACACTTGTTTTCTTTTTTAAAAAAAAAAAAAAATTATACCCATCCTAATTGGTATGAAGTGGTATTTCATGTGGTTTTGATTTGCATTTTCCAAGTGACTAATGATTTTGAGCATCTTTTCCTGTGTTTTTTGGCCATTTCTATATCTTCCTTGAAGAAATGTCTATACAAGTCCTTTGCCTATTTTTTAATTGGGTTGTAGGAGCACCAAATTCTTAAGTATCACAGCTGAGAAGTTAGATTTTAGTAGTTAGCAAGGAGCTACTCTATATGCTTTTAATTAGAGAATTGATGATTCATGCATTGAAACATTAAATATCTTCCAGCCTTGTGATATTTTGGGTTTTGTTATTACATTGACATGTGTTAGCTCATGAGCCAAAAGCCAGATGTCTCTGTGTCTCTTCTTACTTATCCTCATTCATGTTACTTTTTCACAAATGTTTCTTTTTTAATAAATGTTATATATGGCATTTTGGAATGACTATTAACACAGTTTTAAAAGTTTCCTTTTTGAAACTAAGGAGCACTCATTGTCGCTCTTTATGTAACATTATCCTTATAAAGCTGCTAGAGGCCCGGTGCACAAAAATTTGTGCACTCAGGGGGGTCCCTCAGCCCGGCCTGTGCCCTCTCGAAGTCTGGGACTCCTCGGGGGATGTCCACCTGCTGGCTTAGGCCCGCTCCCCGGGGGATTGGGCCTAAGCTGGCAGTCAGACATCCCTCTGGCAGCCCAGGAGCCCTCGGGGGATGTCCACTTGCCAGCGGGGAGCAGGCCTAAGCTGCAGTCGGACATCCTTAGCGCTGCTGAGGAGGCGAGAGAGGCTCCCGCCATCACTGCTGTGCTGGCAACCATCAGCCTGGCTTGTGGCTGAGCAGAGATCCCCCTGTGGGAGCACACTGACCACCAGGGGGCAGCTCCTGCATTGAGCATCTCCCCCCTGGTGGTCAGTGTGTGTCATAGGGACCAGTCATTCCCAGTCGTTCTGCTGTTAGGGTCAATTTGCATATTACCCTTTTATTATATGCCTGGTGCATGGGTGGGGGCTGGCTGGTTTGCCCTGAGGGGTGTCCTGGATCAGGGTGGGGGTCCCACTGGGGTGCCTGGCCAGCCTGGGTGAGGGGCTGAGGGCCGTTTTCAGACTGGCCACACCCCCTTCAGGGTGGGGGTCCCTGCTGGAGTGCCTGGCCAGTCTGGGTGAGAGGCTGAGGGCTGCTTGCAGGCTGGCCACGGCCCCCAGCCACCCAAGCTCCCAGTGGAGGCTGGCTGGAAGCAGGTATCTGGGATTTATTTATCTTCTATAATTGAAACTTTGTTGCCTTTAGCAGAGGCCACAGCCGGCCAGGGCAGGCGAGAAGCTTGGCTTCCTCCATCACCGGGGAAACCAAGTCTCCTGCTTGCTCCAGCTCTGTGGCTGCCGGCCGCCATCTTGGTTGGGTTAATTTGCATATAGTCACTCTGATTGGCTGGTGGGCGTGGCTTGGGCGTGGTGAAGGTACGGTCAATTTGCATGTTTCTCTTTTATTAGATTAGATTTGGGAAAAGCATAACTAGGTTACCTGGTCAAAGATGTACCAAATATTTGTTTTTTTCTTCTAGATTCAAGACTGGCAAAGTATGTACCAGTCCACTCATATTCCAATACCAAAGTTTACCCCTGTGGATGAGTCTGTGACGTTTATCGGTCGGCTCTGCAGAGAAATCTTGCGGATCACAGACCCAAAGTAGGTGCATCTGAACTCCACTGGCCTTGAACACCAGGGACGATCGAAGTCTACACATATGTTGCATATACTGAGGTCACAGCATTGCTTATTGAAATTCACTTTTTTGAGACTACGTATTTTCCTCAGTCCAAAGAGATAGAGATCAAAACAACCCTAAGGTTTGTTTGGCCACCTATGCTCCTCTTGCTCCCCATTTAACATTCTACTTGCTTGGACCAGTGGACATCCCAATATATCAAATTATTTTTTAAATTACAAATTGCTTCTCTGTATCTAGTAGCGTGTGTGCGTGAACGAGCACACGCACACACACACACACACACACACACATTCCAGCCACAGGGTCTTGCACTTGTCGGTTCATATCCTGGCCTTTTAAGATGACCCTGACCCTCTTGTTTCTTAGCCTGTACCAAGGCACCTTTGATAGCAAGAACTAACCTTTTCCTGAGCATTTACCTTGTGCTCTCTTCCCAGAACATGATCTGCGTTCTTTCACTTACTCATTACAAGAGTTTTATGAGGTAGGCACTGTTACTCTTTCCCTTTTAAAAATGAAGTGACTGAGGCACAGAAAAGATAAGTCACTTGCCCAAAATCTCACAGAGTTAGTAAATGGTGGACCCAGAATACACACCAGGAACCAGCTCTTAAGTCCTGTGGCGATCAAGGGCAGACCACATAGGCACATAGGTTTGCATGCAGTGAGTCACAGTTTATAGAGTCACAAAAACTTAGATAATCAAAACTGCCCTTGTCAATATGTAAACTTAATCCAAAAATCCCATCGGAAATGAGTGTTGTCTAAGAGTAATTGATCCAAACCTTTTTTAGCTCCTCCTTTCTTGGTGCCCACGGGTTCATCACTGAATCCTTTCTAGAAAACTACCCCCAGATGCCACACTAATAGTTACAGAGGGTTTAAGCACGATAGGGGCTTTCAGGTCAAGTGTTGACTTGATCGTCAGTGCTGGGAGCCTCGTGAGTGACAAAGTGCCAGCACTGGGCAATGGAGGGCACACCTCGAAGCCTGAAAGATTTCCGTGTGCAGTTCTGGAAATCTCTCACTCTTCTCATTTACTTCCAGAGTTACATCTCCCAGCCCTCGTGGCTCTCACTGCCTCCCAAGTTCCATTTCGGTAAAGTCGCATTCTGGTTCTTAGAATTGGGCACGTCATGTGTGGAGTGTGAAATTGCCGGGCCTGGGAATCCATGCCAGACCTGCCAAGTCAGACTCCCCAGGAGTGGGTTTGGCCATCTGCTTGTAACATAGTCTACCAGTGATTCAAGGTCCCGGCCCCACGTGTGGAACCGTTAAAATGGTGGTTGAGAGTGTGGTGTGGGAATCAGGCCTCTCGAGCCTCAGTTACCTCACCTGTAGAGAATGGGCCACTTCCTCTCATGAGGAAGAAAAAGAGAGCACACGGGAGGAGCTCTGCCCAGCGCCTGGCCTGGGAGAAGTGCTCAGCAAAAGGCTGCTTATCGTCATGGTCACGCTCCTGAGTCTAAACGAAGTCATTGTTGCTACCAGAACTGGGAGAAAGAGGAAATGGCTTGTCATTGTACTCTCAAATGTTACATAGGATTCAAAGTTTCTTTCTTACCAAAGTGCAGATAATACATGACTTGTCCCCAGTTTCTGGAAATTTAAAGATAGGCCCCATGGAGAGACACCCGGGCCCTAAAGTCCTCCAGCCTGACACCCAAGTCTAACCTTGTCCTCTTGGCATGACTCCAAGCAGCAGCCCAACCAGCGACATAGTGTAGGGCAGGAAAAGGGGGTGCAGTGCAGTGCACCGCCCTGGTCCCTCAGGCATCGCCGTGAAGGTGCATACGCTGGGTGCCTGCAGGCAGAGGTTATTCAGCACGAGCCATGTCCCCGCTGTTTTCCATGTCTGATGCCCCAAAGCCGAGGAGTCCTCCATCTCTTAAGGATGACTCAGCTGCTTCTGGGCTTTGGGTGTGTTTTGTGTTGCAGGATGACATGTCACATCGACCAGCTGAACACATGGTATGACATGAAAACGCACCAAGAAGTGACCAGCAGCCGCCTCTTCTCGGAAATCCAGACCACGCTGGGGACCTTCGGGCTGAACGGGCTGGACAGGCTGCTGTGCTTTATGATCGTGAAGGAGCTCCAGGTGAGCTCGGCGAGACGGGAGTGGGCCACTCCACTTTCCTTTCATCCTTTCCCTTACTGACGTGTATGAAACTCCGGTAGGTATGTAAGGACGGGAAGCAACTAGAATCTCGCAGCCAGCATAGTATTTTTGTGGGCAGATGGTTTTTGTGAGTTTCATCTTGGGAAGATAAGACTTTTTCTCATTGAAGCCAGCAACTAGCTCCTCCCAAAAGTGGATGTTTCTGATGGGAACCGGAGGCAGCTGCTTCTCGTGACCCTCCTTACAGCGTGGTATGAGGTGGGCCAGTCTGTGTGCTACTGAACGATTAGGTAACTGGAGTACTTGCTCATCTTATTCATTATATTTGGTTCTTTGATTTTGCCTTTTTCTTGTTCTAGAATTTCCTCAGTATGTTTCAGAAAATTATCATGAGAGACAAAACTGTGCAGGATACTTTAAAAACCCTCATGAATGCTGTCAGCCCCCTCAAAAGCATTGTAGGTAAGTGTTCTGAAACTAGCCTGAGCTGCAGATAACACTGTAACCTTTCCAAATTCACTAAATAGAAAATTATATTTTAACCTTTCAGCCAATTCGAATAAAATTTATTTTTCCGCCATTGCCAAAACACAGAAGATTTGGACAGCTTATCTCGAGGCTATAATGAAGGTATGTTGTGGAAGAAAGGGTGATAATGCTGTGTTTTTTTAATTATTAATTTCTTATAATTTTACTGCTCAAAGAAAGCCACTCTTCTTTTGTCATTAAAACAAAAACACTTCAATTTGTCATTATTTCTGTAATTTGTTTGTCTCTTTATCTTCCTCTCTTGGGGCTGTTCTTCACTATGCTTTTTATTGGCCTGTGGGTTTTTTTTGCTCAAGGAATCTGTTTCTTTCTGAAATGCCTTTTGGCAAGAAGTGCTTTCACACAGGAAATGGGAAATTAATCGTCCATCTCACAAAAACGTCCATTCCGTGACTGCTCTGTCCGGTTACAGATCGTTTATCTCCTTCCCCTCTGTCTGCATGGATGTTAAAAGCCAGGTTCTCTGGGGCATAAAGCGTCCTTACACTGCAAATAGGACACTGTGTCCCTGGAAATGAACGGGAAAGTGAAATGAGGAGATTAATTTGCTGGATGGAAATCAGCTTGTGGAACCCGCTCTCTGCTCTCCTGCCTGGCACTGTGACGGGCGCTCTGAGTCTTCCCAGTGTCCTTCTCTTGTCGCTTGATGACCCGAGACATTCGACAGCCCTTTCCTGGCACTCGTTATGTACAAAGCATCGTCAGTTGTTGGGTGACACAAAGTTAAAGGAAACGCTGCCTGTCTCCTCAGAATACCTATTGACAGTCTGTCTGCTAGATTTCCTGCTGGAAAACTGATTCATGGTTAAAAGTGTCCCATAAAGGAAAAGCCTAGAATGCCATAGGAATTTGCAAAAGTTCCATTCTCTTGTTCCCAGTGACAGAAGTTGCTCATTGAGTCAATACTCATTGTTGTCTTGGCCAAACTCACAATGTATTTCCCATCATTTCAGTGAGTTGTTTATGGGTGTGTGTTTAATTTAGAAACAAACAGAATAGGCAACACTAGGAGCCTTTGGCCTCTTGTTATGAAACCTGATGTTCCGTCACCAAGTGACTTTCAAATACTGAGAGCTTCTCAGGCCGAGTTTCTAATCGTGGGAAAACCTGGGCAGAGTGAGGAGTGGCCTGAGGTCGGTCTGTGGGAGCCGAGGGAGGCGACGGGTTCTCGGGGAAGGCTTGGGCGTGTTCTGCTTGGTGGCCAGGCAGTTCGAAGGCCACTGTCTGTTACGGACCACGGTTCGTTGTCATAGCTGGTGACTCTGCAGTAGCCAAGTATTGGGCCTTAGTGACCTTTGCCTAAAGCCCCAGGGACAAGTTTGTCACCTTGGAAATAACCTGCTGTTCAATAGTGACCATAGCCACTAGCCACGTGTTGTGATGTTGAGCACCTAAAACGTGCCTTGGGGGGCCGAGAAACCGAACCTTTAATCTTATTTCATTTAAATCAGTTTAAATAAATAGCCACATGTGGCTAGTGGCTGCTGTATTTCTAGAGAAATCATGGCAAAAGAGATGATCCAAATATCTCTAAATAGGCAATTAAATGGGTAGAATGAGCTCCAGTGTTGTATGAAAGGCTTGGAGTAAGTAAGCACCAAAAAGAGAAAGTGTTGGTCACCGATATTCAGTGTGCTTTAAATGAGAACAAGTTATGTTAAACTGACTTTATTTGTTTCCATTTCTAGATTGGTACTTTCAAGGGAACCCTTGACATTGAGTATCTGGAATTAAGCAAGGAATTAGATGGGCCAGATACAAGGTTGGAGGCACATTTTTGAGTGGCTTGAGAGAACCCACTGTTTTCTTGGCTTGCCCTATTCTGACTTTAAAGTAATATTTTTCTGTAACAAACGGTTTCTCACTTATAAATAGCATTTTTTACAAAGGCTTTTATTTTCCTCACCCAAGTAGAATGATAGTCTGGTTAGAATAATGGTCGAAAGTAATACATTTGAGGTCATTTTAACACTGTAACTGTTACAAGCTTCATTTATCTAAATGATAACTTGTCTTTTTGTTTGTAGAGAAGGCCACTCTCTTTTTCTTAATTTTTTTCTGCTCCCAACAACTCAGAGTAAATGTGTTCATTTCCCCTTTGTTGTTGCTGTTTTATAAAACAGCCTCCCCTCCTGCCCCTCCGCTCCCCATCACTAACCATTTAGGGATACCTCTCCTAGAATGGAACATGAGAAACGTACTGGCACAGAAAGTTATGCTGTTGTCTTTATGATGCCAACAAGTTTATGGGAGCAGGCTGAAATCTATCTCAAGCCAGATCCCTAAGTAGTTTCTATCACCTCATTGTTCCTTGGGAATTACAGTGGTTGATGCACTGTGTTGACATAACTGTTTCACCAATCTGTTTTTAATAGTCTGGTAATTACCTTTGGGTACAGTTGGCTCCCAGGATCCTATCTGCTTTATTTTGTGCTCATGAAAGATTATTCTGAGACAGTGTCTGTGTGCTTCACCACATTCCAGTAGGGGTTCAAGGTACAAAAACAAGGTTAAGGACCCCTAGACTTGGGTGTAGCATCGTTAGGGGACTTTCTTGGTAGATTTTATGTGGATTATTATTTTTTAACCTAGATTATTACATGATGTTTATCCTGAGTGATGTAGAACACATATTCACCAAATTTTAGAGTATTCGAGGGAATGGCATCCTGAGCACTTATTTCGATGAGGACAAATAAAGGAGGTAGGGCTGCTCCTAGCAGCTACTACACTTGGAGAACTTATTCCCAAAGAGCAAACATAGAGCTCCAAAACAGACACCTTTAACCATGGACACTGAGCATCACCGGGCCCCTTTGCAGAATACTAGACCCGGGGCTATGCTGAGGTCGGCACACTGGAGTCCATCCGGTTTCCTGGCGTGGGCTCTTGTGCTCCATCGGGGTGACGTTGCTCTCAGCAGGGAGCCAGTCCAGGCAGTCCCCCCATTTTCCTGTAGAACCTGTGACCCTCCAGTGAAAAGTGTTTGCCTCCTTCCCGTCGCTGAGATGCCCACCTGCCCCACCTGTTCTTTCTCTGGCTTGTTCACAGGTGGGACAGATGCAGATTCTGAGACAACAGATTGCCAACGAATTAAATTACTCTTGTCGATTTGACTCCAAACATCTGGCAGCCGCCCTGGAGAATCTCAATAAGTAAGTGCCAGCATTTGAAAGAGCCCGATTCTTCCGTACCTACTCGAAACGTTAAGTTCTTTTTGGGTAAGAAGGGTCTCTGCATGAATAGGCTGCTTCCTGTGTGTGTGTGTGTGTGTGTGTGTGTGTGTGTCTTTTTCTTGATGGACTCATTTCTTCAACCAACAAATATTGATCACTTAACACATACCAGACACTGTAGTAGGTACTTACACAGATTGAGAAAGCAATTACAGTTGGCCTCTGAACACCATGGGTTTGAACTGTTTGGGTCGACTTATAATATAGATTTTTTTTCAATAAATACTATAAGTGTTTTTTCTCTTATGACTTTCTTAACACTTTTCTCTAGCTTACTTTAAAAATACAGCATATAATACATACAACTTACAAAATGTGTTAATCAGTGTGTATGTAATCAGTAAGGCTTCTGGTCAACAGTAAGCTATTCGTATTTAGGTTTTGAGGAGCCAAAAGTTATACATGGGTTTCCGATTGCACATGTTGTTCGAGGGTCAACTGTTACCAAAACCCCCACTTGGCTGTCCACAGGACTGAGTCACTGAGCATCCTGTGGGCAGTTAGAAGTGTTTTCTTTGCGAGGCGTGGCTCTGGGCACACATCCTGGGTACAGTCCTTCTCCAATGAGTGGTTCTCATTCCAAGCTCCCTACTTAAGTAATTCTTGCTTCTTGGTCAAACAGTTCAGTCAGTTCACAAAACTTGAGTGGTGAAAGCATTTGATCTGGGTGAATTCCAGAAGATAAAGCAATTTGAGGTTAAATTTTCCATGTATACCCAATCGCAGGCCTGGCACTGGAGAATGAGAAGGATCAAGCCCTCGTTTTCCAGAGGAGGACACTGAGGCCCTGAAAGATTACATCATAGTCTGTACTAACTGTTGTAAAATTCCGTATATTTCTAACATGTATCACTGCTTTGTGTTTCTTCCACACAGGGCTCTCCTAGCAGACATCGAAGCCCACTACCAGGACCCCTCCCTGCCTTACCCCAAAGAAGATAACACACTCTTATATGAAATCACAGCCTACTTGGAGGCAGCTGGCATTCACAACCCACTAAATAAGGTTGATGATTAAAATGTATAATGGTGTGGTGGGAGACACGTGGTCCACAGAGGCGCTTTGGCCCGAGTAGCAGATCACTGGGCTAAAGTCCTGGGAGAACCTGGGTTCAGATCCCAGCACCTCCCTTCCTTCACTCAAGTCCCCGCCCCTCTGAGCTCCTTTTTCCCACAGGTAACAGGAGGGTGTGCTCACACCTTTCCTGCCTGACTCTGGCTGAGGGACTCAGATGATAGTGTTTGCCAGAGCTCCTTAACAAGCAAAACGGGCTCTGTCTGTAAGAGACTCCTTTTAGGCTTGTCCAGGGTTTGATACCTGAATTGCAACCAAATGGTGGCATTGATCCTTCCTGCTTGTGTCTGATGGTATCACAGCTGTAGCCTGGGGCTCCTAACGCCCCTGCAATCCCGACCTCCGAAGTCCCCTGAGAACTGGACGTTTTCTCACAAGTTGGTATCAGATCTCCTTTGGTGGCAACACCTGTTCCTGTGAACGTTCATGTTCTGATGACTTTGATTATAGGATGTTATCTAGCCCTATATTACCTTGGTAAAACCTATAACGTGAAATTTTGAAATCTGTATGATCCCCTGGGTGTTTTGGTTAAAAGATTATGACCCTAGATAGCAGCTCACATTTTTTGAGTACTTACAATGACCAAGCACTGAAACGTGCCATTGTTGGGCAAGGAGCCCGAGGCTCAGAGGCGGATCATGTTCCTCGTCCCAGTGGATCTTGTCCCAGTCGATCTCGGTCTCACAGCAACTCTATGAAACATGCCATTGTTGGGTGAGGAACCTGAGGCTCAGAGGTGGATCACGTCCCCGGGCTCCTCACTAGTTAGTGTGGAGCCAGGCAGTCTGAGTAGAGCCCTGCTCCCCAGCCAGAACGTGTCTCTGTACTCAGGCTGCTGGGGGGGAGGGAGAGGGCTAAGTATCTACCTCCTGCCAGGTGAGCTGGGAGGGAGACTGCTCTGTGACACTGCCCAGGGCTCAGCAAATGACAGGAGACATCTGCTTGCTTTCTGCGTGTGTCCTGCCACGCGCAGCCCTGTGGAGCTTTCCTTCCTTCTGCCTCCTCCCCACCCTCCCTCTGTCCTCCCTTCATCCCTCCAGCTTTGCCTTGACTATTGTACTTGCTTTCCTTTCTATCCCACTCCTGCTCATCACTCTTTTCCTCCCTCCCTTTGTTAATGACATTCAGAGGATTGTGAGGAGGGAGGAGTAGCCGTTAATCTCTAAGCAAAAATGTTCCTTCCCCAGGGGGCTAATTGTTATGTAGGTATTTATGTTTTCGGGGATCCAGTGATGTTAAATAAACTCCGAAGGCAGCAAATTAGTGGAACATCCTAGTTTTAGGTGGTCTGAAAAGGAAATTGAAATAAAAAGGAACCCTTCCATTTATAAATGTGTTCTGCAGTGTTGTGCAATGTGAAAAAACATCCATTTTTTGTACCTTTCTCTTTCCAGATATACATAACAACCAAGCGCCTACCCTACTTCCCCGTTGTCAACTTTCTATTTCTGATCGCTCAATTGCCAAAACTTCAGTACAACAAAAACCTAGGTATGAGATGAATCTATTATTTGCAATAAGTAGCAATATCAATAGATCAATAACTAACAAAACAGCTCTTTGTATAGAATGCTATGTCACATATTTTCTTAATTAAATCTATGTTTATAAAATCCATATCTTTGGGCCTCTGAAACTTAATGCCCCTCCATGAAATGGGGACAGTGAATTTCCTATCAACCTACCATAGTCCACCTTTATTTCCAGTGGTTAATTATTCAACTTGTAAAAGGTGTGGGGCCTTGGCTTCTTTCCTTTCTGTAAAGTTTAGGCAACCGATTATGGTTCTGCCTCCTGCCCACCCCCTACTGGGGATCGAGCCTACAACCCAGGCATGTGCCCTGACTGGGAGTTGAACTGTGACCTCCTGGTTCATAGGTCGATGGTCAACCACTGAGCCACACCAGCCAGGCTCATTTATATTTTTTATATCTTTAAATTTTTCTACAATCGCATGCTGTAATTATATAATCCAAAAGACAGAGTGATGGTAATTGTAAAACTGAGTAATTATTGTATCATGTTGAATCCTTCAGACCACAAGCAGCCCCCACCAATCCCGGGTCTAACTCAAAATGTAGTCCACGGTTATTATTCCTTCCAAATAGTCCCGTGCCAGTGAGGATGTGGCCCAAACAGGAGCGTCCCTACTGACTGGACGTCGCCAGAGGCCAGCCTTCGACCTGGTGGTGTAACTGGTGGTCTGCGGTTCCTTGCAGGAATGGTCTGCCGCAAACCTGCCGACCCCGTGGACTGGCCGCCGCTCGTCCTGGGACTGCTCACCCTGCTGAAGCAGTTTCATTCACGGTACACGGAGCAGTTCCTGGCGCTGATCGGCCAGTTCATCCGCTCCACAGTGGAGCAGTGTACCAGGTACGTAGGCCAGGAGTGCATGGGACCCGTACGGGAGGGGCGTTCCCTGGTACACCAGGTTCCTCTTAGTGCCTCGCCGGGCAAATGGGGATGGGCTGCTCAGCCTGCTCAGTAAAGCAAGTCAGGGCACATCTCCTTGTTTCAAGGAAATTAAGGTGGGCCCCTCCTTAGTTGCCCTGCCCAGGGTGCTCCAGGTACATTCACAGGGATGTTGCATGAATGAGTCACGACCATGATTAGTGCGGGGATGCCTCTCTCAGACCTCAGGAGCCTTCGTGCCCTGGCTGGGCCACAGCCAGGGACAGCTCCACACCCTTGGTGGGAGGCAGGGAGCATGTCTGTCAGACGCTGGACACAGCTCGAGCCCCGGTGTGTAATGAGACCGAAATCACACCCCAGTTCCTATTGAATACAAAGCTTGTAAACCTTTCATTCTTCCCCCTCCCCAAAAAGTTATTTGCGTGAGATGCTGGGTCCTGAGCCTCCTTCTCTGGTACCCTAATGGCTCAGCCCGGCTAACTGAAATTCTGTCACGGCACATTCAAAACCTGGGAGATTACCACCTGGCCACGTGTGTCGGTGTGACTTAAAGACAACGAGGATGGTCTTCCCAGCCCTCTGCTGATCGGACGTCATTTCAGAGGCCATTTTATTTGCCTCCTTCCACAGGCACGATCAGCTCTCAGGTGTCCGGGCAGGTAGTCATCCCGTCTCCACAGGGACACGCCCTTCCATGAGGCATTCGTTACCTCTCAAGGCAACACCAGACACTGGTAGAGTCGTTCTCATCATTGAAAGGTTCCTGATTGCACACGATAAGCGGAAAATGCCCTCCCATCTTGGAAACGTCATTCACTGGGCCTTCTCCGACCCTTTTATTAGAATAAAGCCGTCTCCTTCCTTGGCAGCATCACCACAGGTTGTTACTGTCCCCGCCGCCTTAGGGCTTCTCTCTCTTTGGGGTAGCGCCTCCACCTGTTCCTGACGTACTGGTGACCTCTGCGGGGGTTCTCGTTTGTTACTAGTTTGGCCATCTCAGTGTGTTTTCCCAGATTCCAAATACAGCCTCCCCTTGGGGTGGAGGGGTTACACACCCCTTCCTTCCGGGTCCCCCTCAGTGCACCTAGAATCGCAGTACTGGGTCCTTGACATCCACTGTATACCAGTGGCTCGTAGTGATTTTATATTCATTTTAAATCCTGCCATCTTTTCTCCGTGGGCCTCAACCAGGCCAGCCCTCCCCGGTCTTATGTCACAGTTAGAATAACACTGGATATTTTTCTAGGACATGTGGTCAGCCTTTTTCAAAGAGCAAATTTATTTTTTAACAATTGAAATACAGAAGAGCACTTGGAAGGATGGGGAAATCTCAATAAAGAAATTGTCACAATCACAAAATAAGGGCAATTGCAAAGGAAAGTAGCAGGCCCCCAAAATCTGATGAATCTCGCCCAGGGCCATGGGGAGAGGAGAGGAGGCCAAGGACTCGTTCAGGTGGCACCAGGGCGGTGGTTTCCAGTCACCTCCACACCCGGCCACCCCCAGTCGTAGTGCACCGTCTGGCAGGAGTTGGCGGGTCCACCTCCTGTTTCTTCTTCAATAATGACTACAAAGGAGTAAGTGTGCCTCTAGTCTGGCTTGTTCCTGGCAACCCGAGAGAGGTCACCAGCTTACAGGGGTCAAGCTGCAGCTCAGGATTTCTGATTCGGCTCAGTGAAGTGACGTAGGGACTCGAGATGTCTGGAGACGCCTTCCTTCCCTGGTTCCAAGCAGAGCAAATATAAATGTAGCCCTGGCCACACCTGAAAGATTGAGAGCAGTGGGAACTTTTCCAGTTGCAATCATCTTAAACGTTCTTTTCAAAGCAAAAAATCATTAGAGAAATACATCAGTAATCCATTTCCATAGCATTCTTTATTTAGAAAATGCCAATCTGTACATAAATTGGAAATAGTTCTCATACCCAAAAACTCATCTTGAGAAAAGTAATGTAAGCTGCACAAGACGACCATCATGCATGCTGCTGCATTCCCAGCTCTAGAGTGGCTGGCACTCTAACTGTGTGAATAAATACACGAGTAGGATCCATATGGAAAATTACAAGACGCCGTATTTACTTGCCACCTTCAAATATACAGTACTGGTCCAGGCACAGTCCCAGGTACTGGAGACAGAACGATGAAGACATGAACAACCGAAAATATAAGAGGCCTGGGGAAGATTCCAGGCACACTGAGAGCACAAGGAAAAGGCCATCCGCCCACAGGAGCCAGGGCGGACTGCGCCGAGGAGGAAGTACCCAAGCTGGGTAGAAGTTTACTTTCAAATAAGCATGCAGAGCGAAAGTAGCTGCAGAGGCTGGAGGGCATGGGGAAATGGGGCCTGTTCGGGGGCCTGCCAGTCTTTGAACCATGAAGTGCTGAGGGATACCGAGGGGTGAGTCCAGACAGACGGCCAGGTCCACGTGAACCACAGTTTATCCTCTGCGCTATACTATGAAACTAGGCGAGCAGGATAATGACTTGGTATGAATCAAGGTGTTCTTGTAGGTGTTTCTTTGACTGCATTTAGTAATCTGTCGTTGAGTTCGTATTTCAGTATCCTGACTGGGGTCTCCCATGTGCAACGCAGTTAATCGATCCAGTGTTCTCTTGCAGCCAGAAGGTCCCTGAAATGCCTGCAGATGTTGTAGGTGCTCTTCTGTTCCTGGAGGATTATGTTCGGTACACAAAACTCCCCAGGAGGGTAAGTGATAAATAAAGAACTGCATTATGCCTTTTGTAAAAAGGTGGGATTGCGTGGCCCCGACTTAGAAATGAAGTTCAGTAGCTCATTCTCAGGGGATGCCTGTCCCCTCGCCACTGCTCTGCACACGGCTCTGAGATGTCCTTCCTTCTCCACCATGCTAAGAGCTTCGCAAGGAGACAGAATGTCTACCGTACCCCTGGCAGCAGCTTCCCCAGTTGAGGAGGTGAGATGTGCAGTCCAGGAGAGAATTCCTTCAGTGGCAGGGTAGAGAAACAACCAGGTGTGGTGTGTTCTCTCCAAGTAACGGGGTTAAGTTCATGTTACAGCTAAAGTTACATATGACCACTGTTCCAAAAATGACACACCCCTTTTTACCTTTTAAGAATTGTTTTCCTAAGTGTGTGTGTGTGTGTGTGTGTGTGTGTGTGTGTGTGTGTATGTGTGTATGTGTAATCAGTTTAGTTCTAAGGGATTGAGATCAGATTCTTTCTTATACTCCTGCATTTATTAAATTTCCTCTAATAAGCAGTTGATACCTTTATAATAAAAAAAAATTAAGCACTGCTTTTAAAAAAATACCAATTTCTAGCACCTGGAGATTGCCTAGCTCTACACCCCACCCCATCCTACCCCTCAGAACAGCTCAGGAATGGGTGCCTATGTGGGCCTTCTTCTCATCTCCCTCTGGCTTGGTCACTGGCCAGACTTCCTGATCTTCCTGGAGATATTACCTCTTGGTACTTCCTAGCAGATCACAGTGCCTTTAAGAGTTCAGGTTTGCAGGCAGGGGGAGCTGGGCAGCATCCCCTGAGATGTCAGCAGTGCCAAGAAAATAGGCACCAGGATGGAGAACACCAGGAACAGAAGCGTGGTCTCAAGGCGTGGCCCACCCCTTGAGGCCAGTGCTCCCTGGGATTCCCCTGCTAGAAGGATATCCTCATTTCTTCAGTTTTCATTTGGGAAATGTTGCATGTGTTCTGAATAACACTATGAATAATTTAACTCGTTTTATTATTTCAGGTTGCTGAAGCACACGTGCCTAATTTCATTTTTGATGAGTTCAGAACAGTACTGTAACTTGATTTCTTCTTCTACTTTGATGAAAGGATTATCCCTAAATCTTCCCACCACCACTAAAATGAATTAAGAGGATGAAACTCAACTGCTCATATAAACTGCATGTTTTCCCTTTATCGTGGGAAACATCAGACATTCTGAGTAAGATGTATCTCATGGAATAGATAATAGACTATTGTTTAAATCATGGTATTATATGCAATTTATATCATGTAGGAGCAAAACACACTTTTGTACTGCCTCTTTAAAAATGCTGAATGTACGTATAAATCCATTTAGTTTTATGTTCTAAAGAACTATTTGTGCAGCTCCAGATTTTCAGTAAAATAGTATTGCCAGTACCCAGTGCTCCGGTTTATTCGAAAACTATGTATTCACTGTGCAAACACCTTGTCTGGAAGGTCCTATGGACACACCCAGGACAGGCTGGTGGCTCCTAGTGATAGTCAAACTAGCAGCAAATGCAGTGACCACACAATCTGTGGACTACAGACTAAGGAAGTTTCTTAGTGTCTGTGGCTCACAGTCCCTCTTCTAATCTCAGACACCCTCAGGGGTTCCAGCATCTCTTCTGAGAAAGTGAGTTTTTAAACAGAAAATAGAACTTTGGGAACCAAGGGAATGAATCAAGGCAAAGTGATGGATGCAAATGAGTCCACTAGTAAGCTGGCCAGAGAAAAAGTTTTTCAACCGAAAGAACTTAAAAGTTAAAAAAGATAAAGTTTTATTATTAAAAGCTTACATGTGATTTTAGCCCTAATCATTAGAATCTAAAGTCATTACTTAATAGTCCAGGTTATATTTTACTGCTCTGATTTCAGGGGGAGCATTACTGATATTATGATTAACTCACGTCTATAATCTTTTCAAATACACCATAAACTTGGAAAAACATATTGGTTTTAAGGCATTATACCAGACATTACAAGTGCTTTTTATTCATTCACTGTTTCTTGAAACAATCCTAGCCTGGCTTATTAATGCTCTACAGTGGACCTTATAAAGCCCTTGCTGCTTTCCTGTATGAATGTATAAATGTGATATTTTCCAAGAACTCAGAAAAGAACCTTATCACACTCTCTCCCTGGATAGATGAGGAAAATCAGGTCCAGAGATTTAAGGCAACTTCCCCCAGCATCAGCGTCAGAACAGGTTTCCCTCTGCATTTTGCATCCCACTGTGGTCTTCTTTTCCATCATCCTGAAGCTACGTAAAGAAGTCCACAACAAGAAACAAAACGACCTGAGGGTTCATTCTTCATTTTATTTGTATGTCCCACAGTAACTCATTCCAAATACTGAATTCAAAAGAAAAATTGTTCTCAGTATTAGCACTAATTCATGGTAACAATCATTTCTTTTGAACTATCTTATTTGACCCTTCATTTTAAATTGAAAATTAAAGTATATATTTACATGTTTATATACAAATAACTTCAAAAACAAATTAATTCCAGTCTTGGTCCAAGAGTTTCCAAGAAGTGGTATAGTACCATACTGCATAAATCCTCTTCTGAAAGTCACTTAGGACTTGGTGAGTTCCAAATACTCATTCACAAGTGGTCCCTCTCTTTAAAGAACCAAGTACTTCATTTCTGAGTAAATCAGAGGGAATATCACAGAACATGCTTTGTAAAATACAGCACCACTACTGAAAATGGCTCGGGGTTTCGTAATCCAAGGTTCTGATTTAAAGCAAAAATATGTGGCATAGATGGCAACAGCAAAGAAGTGTCCAATTAAACTTAGAGGATTAGGAGAGAGCCTGTAATAGAAGAAAAACAAAACATAAATATTGGTAAGACACAGAAATCAAATTTACTAGAAAAGAGTTTCAATTGTGTGTATGATCTATAAAGCTAAACATTCTACATTTTAGAGGACTTTATAAGCTTGTGTCTGCCTGCTAAGTTTGATGCAGGGATGAACTTTTAAAACATATTTTTATAAGAAACTACTTGGACTATACCTGTCAGAGAATTTAGTAACTACTCTTAGTCTAGTTTACACGAGTCCTATGTTTTGAGTTGTTTTCTTTCGGTAATCTTGAGTCTGGCCTATGGGAGTCTGACATTCAGATTATAGAAGAGAAAAGACAACATCTGCACTGTGAAAATTATCACTGAGTTTCTTGAGTCCCTGCACTTGAATGGAATTAATTTTTAAATACAAATTTTTCAGTCATCCATGGCTCCCATAGATCAGATGTGGATTAGCCCACAGGCAAAAAACAAGCTTCTATTTTAATCAAGGGTTTTAGCCTCGTCTACCGACAACTTCTAATCAATGCTGTTTCCCCAAATAAAGCACAGGCATAAATGTTCTTTTCTCATTTCTCTGGGAATCCTGATTTGCATACTAATGGATAATAAAATGACAAAATATATAAGGAGAAAATTTTGCAGTAATTCTTAACAATCCTAAGGACATCTGGACTATGTTCCCTTTGTGTCAAAACAACTTACACAGAAAGCAGCCCAACAGGACCAGCAACACACTCTCCACCAAGTTTGAAATATAAAAAACAGGCTTTTCTTAGCTGATGTAGGGAATCTAAAATAAAATTTAAAAATTACTCTCAATCAAATTATTTATACATTTATGTTAGGGTGCTAATGACATATCAGAATAAAAGTGTAACAAATATCAAACCTATAATTTTTTTTTAAATCTAGTCCTGAAATTTCAACAATCTAAGATTTCTTTTACATTCCACAATCAACATTATGGATAGTGGTATGAATAAACTTTTCTGTTAATAAATAATGACTATACCAAAAATGTAGGTCCCAGAAGTTAGAGTTGTTTAAACTATTTCCTTGATTATGTTATAAATTCATTCAATGATGC